GACTGACCTGGTACTGGGCCGAGGGCGGCTTGTGCCGCCACGTCCCGGCATCGAGATGCATTCGGAAGTGCCCGTCGATGGTCACGGCTGGATACCTGAGTTTAGGGTGTTGGGTTTAGTAGGGTTCTGGGTTTTAGCGTTCAAGTTCCGTTGAAGATTGTTGGGCTTGTGGCTGAATACCTGGACTTCGTGGGTTTGGGGTTGAATGGTGTCTAAGGTCTAAAAATTCAGATGCTGCGCAGGGTTTACGGTGCTAGTATCATTTACTTTTCTTCTTCGTGCTTATGCTACCCCAATTCTTAAACATGTTTGTCAGCATCATTGCTGCATCTTGTATTCGACTATCGCGACTTTGAGCCCCACCTCCTCCTTCCTTTCCAATGAGTATGGTCTTTGATAGTTTCCATTCTCGGTTGTGCGGTGACCTAACCCCTGAAGTCGAGGCATTATCTCTAAAGTAGTACACAAAGTACCCAGCACCCTCGGTATCATCATGATCCTCATCATCATCATCATCACCATCATCAGGGTCATCATCACCAGCGTCAACATCAACATGCTCCCCATCCTCGTCGGCCTGTGCAGGACGAGGATTTCAGCACGGCCTAATGCGGGAGGTGCACAAAGTAGTGCCTCCGCCATTGTTTCGCAAGAGCCTACAGTCCTGCACAAGAACGCAGTGCTGGAGGGTATAACCATAATGACAACAACCGCAATACCACTAAACACTCCCGTGTCAGTGACGACAGAAATAATACAAGTCAAAAACGGCAACATATCAACGAAACACCCAGAAACAATAGAACAGCCAAGGAAACATGCGTAATGGTAATCACAATAAAGGTGGCAATAGCACGGTCTTCAGTGCTTGGCCTGGGTGCAGCATGCGGTCGCCCTTCTGAAAGCTCATGTGATAGGCAGCCTGTTCCAGAGAAAGTCCGCGACGAAGTAATTACAGTACTTAAAAGCCCATGGGACGTAGTAGTAAGGTTACAAACAAAGATATTGTTAGGATAACCCTACTGTTGGCACTTCTAAGCCAATTACAACCCTACAAACGAAACCCTAAACCCCAAACCCTACGCCCTGAACCCTAAGCCCTGAACCCTCAACCCTAAACTATAACCCTACCCAGATCTACTCACTAGGCGCAGGAGGGGCTGAAGACGACGAGCAGACAGACGGGGATGGTCAGGTTTGGGTCTTGGGTTTGATTGGAGGCCCTTTTGACTTAGTAGGTAGGGTTAGTAAGGTGGGTTCCAAAACAGTACCACACCCTTACAAGAAAAGGATCCTCAAAGGGACCCTAATGTAGAGAACTGCCCTACAACAATAATTACTTGGAGTTACTATGTCTTAGGCTTCCTTGTTCTACCAAAACCCTATTCAAGTTACGGAGGCTCCTCTATCAATTCCGGCCTCTTTGCGCCAACTGCCATCCCGGTCCGAGATGCGCATGGTCCCCTCATCCATGTCTATGGCCAGCCCTAGGCGATCGTCAGGGCGCCAACGGTCCATGTTGGCCTGCAAGGGGGTTTTAGGGTTTAGAGTTTAGGGTTTAGGGATTTAGGGTTTAGGGAGTTGCCGAAATTTGGATCTCACCATAACGTGGGGCTTTATCAGCTGAAGAGGAGTAGAGTTTTGGGGACCCCCAAACCTTCCAAACCTAACCGCTCGACCCCTCAGCACGAGGCACCGATGGACGAGCAGGGCTTCTTTGGTTTAGGGTTTGGAATTTGGGCTTGGGGCTGAGTGAGTGCCTATGTAGGGCAAGTCGAAAAGGCTGAATTTTTGACGTTCGCGCCCTTTGGGCAACAACCTCTGAATAAAGAAACAAACCTCCTAAGAGCACTGAAGTCGGGATTGCAAAGAGCTGTAATCGAGGAATATTAGAATAGGGGTTCCTTGAAAGAGGTCTATAGTCTAGAAGGGTTACAATGAGGAATAAGGGTTTAGGGCTTCGAGTCTACTCTTGGGACCTTAATAATTAGAATGAGGGCTTGGGTAAATCGTAGTATATTTGGAGTGCGGAACCCCGAGGAATGGTCTTGCCCAATAATTTCGGCTTCTGAGTGATACGGCTCCTTTACGCGTCCCTCTAAGGGTTCTCACAAAGAAGGCTGTCACGAGGTGCTCTATGGTTATCTAGAGCGTTGTAAGGTGTCATGATTCATAGGCTTTTACGGGCCCCTTAAGCAAGAATCGTGCTTAGGGAATGTCCCATGGTTGGGGGGCTTGCCAACCCTGTGACAACACGCAAGGAAACCCTGGAAAGATCTTTGTACAATCCGAAAATATGGCTTGATACTGGCTTGATTAGGGGAAGGGGGGGAACTACCCCTTGGATCCAAACCCCTCACCATTAGAATAGGGCTTTTGGATACAGTATACTACACTTAGGGACCTTAGTATAAGGAACCTCCAGAAAAGTATTGGCCTAAACCCTAGACTCTAGACCGTAAACCCTAAACCCTGAAACCATAAAACCCTAAACCCTATAACCCTATAGGCCCTATAGGCCCTATAGTACCCTTGTGGACCCTCAAAGGAACCCTCAAAGGAACTCCCAAAGGAACCCTTAAAGGAACCCAATGCTGCGTCCTCCTTCTGTCTTTTGTTGTGCCATTGAGCTGCGCGCTGCGCATCAAAGGCCCAGCCCTCGGCATCAATGCCAACGCCTTCGTGGCTGCTAAGAACGGGCGGTTCACTGAACCACTGAGAAAAATGTATATACTAGTTTGGGTTGGCTGTATTAGTGGGGTCTTAACTAAACCCTTCAACCCTCAACAGACCTAATACCCTAAACACCCAATACCCCTAACCTCCCATCCCAAGTTTCTGAGCACTTTGCACTCCGAGATTGCCAAAAAGTTCCGAAGACTCTGACTGAAAACCCAAATCCCCTAAACCCTAAACACCTGAAAACCCTAGACGCTAAACCCCTTGAAAACCTAAACCCCTTGAACCCCTAAACCCCTTAAACCCTGAAGCCTAAACCCCTTAAACCCTGAAAACCCTCAAAACCCTAAACCCCTTAGAAACCTCTTTAAGACCCATGAAACCCTAGTCTCTGTAGCCAGGAGGCTCTTGGGGGGACCGAAGCCCGCAGTCTTAGCACCGGCATCGAACCGCGTCGTCAGCCAACCGAGCTGTGCAGCTTCTGTGGTACTTAGCCTAGGCGGTTTAGGCTTTGGGGCTTGGGGCTTAGGGTTTAAAGGTATTGAAAGATAGTCGCAAACAAGATCCTCTTAGGCCCTAGAATGGGCACTGTAAAATCTCCCAAAGGCCTGCCTAGGAATAGGGTTTCTCCTGTTTCTTTATTCTGGTAATGTAGGGGCCTTAATAACTAGAATAGGGTTTTGGGGTCCCTTATACTATAATTATAATAAGGAACCCCCAAAATAGTATTAGTAGTTATTTAGGCCCCTATATTAACCCAAAATCAAATTGAACCCAGTAGCAGCTCCACCTCGTGATAGAGCTTCCCAGAGCTGCGGGCAACCTCCGGCACGCCGCAGGTCAGAAGGATGAACGAGCTGTCCCTTGCAGAAGGCGCGAAATTCCTGGGCAGCAAGACGGTGAGTCCGCGCAGATGACCTGGCTTTAGGGTGCAGGGCCTAGCGCTTTGAGAGTTTAGGGTTAGATTAGGACTTTCAGGTTACGGTTTGACGGTTAGGGGTTGGGGTTTAGGGGTTAGGCAGTTTAGGCTCTAGAGCCACAAAGCTGACCTCGCAGCACTGGTAGCGCACTGGCGTCCATCATCTGCTTGCCGAGTTTGCGTCGGTGGTAGGCCAGAGTCAGTGCTTCGGCACCTAGGTTCCCCAGCAACCTCTCAACGATAAGGGTGCCCTAGTCCATACTAGTTGGCGAAACCCTACAACCTAAACTCTTGACCCCAATCCCTAAATCCTAAGGCTAAAACCCTAAACCCTTAGGTGACCAAAAAACACAAAAGCACTCCTGGAGAGCAAGGTACTACTGAAGGTCAGTCGGCCAACATGTTGTCCGTCCTGCCACCCTAAACCCTCAACCCTAAAGCCTAAGAAGACAAAAACCCTAAACCCTGTCCGTCCTCGCCGTGACTGTTCGCCAGAGTCACGTCGGTGCGGTCCACCAGCGAGCTTGCGCCGAGGAGCCACTGCATGGCCTTGTCCATAACTCCTAGGTGTTGGCCGTTTAAAGCCGTTGCAAAATGCTCGTAAGGGAAGATCTAAACCCTAAACCTTTTAGATTATAAAACCTATATGTCCCTCTAAACTTAAGCTATAAACTCTTAAAATGTCCCAAAGGCCTACCTAGATTCTGCTCGCTTCATCCACGGAGTTTTTGCTGCCAGCAGTCCGCAGATCCAGCTCGCACCTTGACTCGAGAAGTAGCTGCAGCATTCCGGCTTCACCCACTGCGGCGGCCAGCGACACTGCAGTGTCACCGTCCTTGTACAGATTTTACAAATGCCTTTACTGAAACCCTTAATACCACTAAAAGTATCATGTACCCTAAAGATTGTCTTAGGAAGTAGGCCTAAGTCAACCCTAAACCCTAAACCAAAGTATTTATACAGGCCCCTACCCTACCCCACCCTACCCCCTACTTGGAAGAGCAGGGGACTTAGTAAGTAGGTTATAAGTAGAGTTATAAGTACCCTAAATAATGGAGTTACCCCAACTATAACCCTACTTATAAACTACTTACTAAGTCCCCCGCCCCTCCAAGTACCCTGCCCTACTGTCCTTGTTTCGAGCCTTCAAGTTGCAGCCTTCGTGGACGAGGAACTGGAGAGTCGCAGGATGACCTACTTGGAAGGGTATTAGGGGACTTAGGAAGGGCTCTTAAAGGGCTCCTTAAAGGGATCTATGGGGTTCCTTAAAGGGGTCTATGGGGTTTAGGGTTTAGGGTCTACTTGGAGGGGCAGGGGACTTAGTAAGTAGGTTATAAGTAGGGTTATAATTGGGGTAACTCCATTTAGGGTACTTATAACTCTACTTATAACCTACTTACTAAGTCCCCTGCCCTTCCAAGTAAGAGTTCAGGGTTTTCGAGTTTAGGGCCGTTTAGGGTTTAGGGTGTAGGGGTATAGAGTTTAGGGTCCAGGATTTAGAGTTTAGGGTTTCAGAGTTTAGGGTTTAGGGCTTGGGGTTTAGGGTTTTAGAGTTTGGGGGTTAGGGTTAAGCATATAGGCTTTTGGGTGCACAATTTCGAATTTGGGGCGAAAAGTTACCTCACTTACTACGTCCCATGATCCTTTAAGTGGGTGGCTGTCAAAATTATGGCCCCTTTTTGGGTACCCTAAAAAATAGGTGCCGTATTATAATAGGGACCCAAGAAGGGACCCTAATTTTGACAACCACCCAAAAAGCCTTCCCGCACTGCACCCTAAAATCTAAACCCCTAAACCCTAAGCCCTAAAACCCAAACCCTAAGCCTGAACCTACGATCGGCCTTCCCGCACTGCCAGCATCACTGCCGTGTCTCCAGTGATGTTGACAGCCTCGGGATCGCACCTCGCCCTCAGGAGGGTCTTCAGCGCCTCAGCTTTTGGGGTATAGGGTTCCCATTGACTCCAATATCCCTTAATTAAGGAATATTGGAGCTACTATAGTTTAAGGAATAGTCTTTAATTAAGGGATATTGGAGTCTCTGGGTTTAGGGATGTTTAGGGTATAGGGTCTAGGGTATAGGAGCGCCTAGGATTTAGGGTTTGGGGTCTGGTGGTCTTCAGGCCTCAGTCTTGCCAGTCCTTGCTGCAATTGTCGCTGCGGACTCACAGAAAACAGCCCTGGATGCTGCTTTGCGTGGGTCACATCTCGCACGGAGCAGAATTTCCAGCGCATCGACCCATCCACCCATAGCTGCGAAGGAAACCGGGGTGAAGCCAAACCTGGGTTGTGCTTTTGGGACCGCTAAAAGTACTTATGAATAGGAACCATAGAGGGGAATTTAAGAGCTTCCCAAAGTGCCACCCCGAAACAGGTGGTCGGCCGACTCAGCATCGCATCGAGCCTCCAGGAGTAAGTTCAGCGCATCTACAACTCCAGTCCCGGCAGCAGCCATGATTGCTGTGAAGCCATCCTCGTCGACACTGTGCGGGTCGCATCTCCTGGGTTCTTGTTTAAGTTGAGGGGGTTTAGGTTACCATAATAAGGAATCCATATTATTCACCATAGATCCTATTAGAACAACTTTAAATCACATCCCTTAACGAGAACCCAGTCTCGCTTCCAGAAGCAGCCTCAATGACTCAGCATCTCTGCGTCGTGCAGCCTCGAAGACGGCACTCTGACCATGCTTATTGAGGATCCTCGGGTCGCCTCTGGCCTCCAAGAGCAACTTTACAAAGCCGGTGCGTCCCTTGCCTGCAGCTGCTATGATTGGCGTGTTACCGTCCTCGTCCGCCATGCCAGGGTCGCATCTTGCCTCCAACAGCAACTCCAATGAATCAACATGGCCAGTTGCTGCCGCTTTGATGATCGCACCGCTACCATCCTTGTTGGTGATCCTCGGATTGGCCCTTGCCTCCAAGAGCAACTTTAGGGCATCAATGCAATCATTCCCTGCGGCTATGATGACCGGGGTGTTTCCAGCCTTGTCTGCCATACTTGGGTCGCATCTTGCCTCCAAGAGCATCTTCAAGGCATCAGCACTCTTGCGCGCTGCAGCTTCCAAGACGGCACTCCCACCATCCTTGCTGACCATCTTCGGGTCACATTTCGCCTCCAAGAGCAAGCTTAAGGCATCGGTGCTCTCATGGCGTGCAGCTATTATGGCAGGCGTCTCTCCGTTCTTGTCCGCGAAGCTTGGGTCGCACCTTGCCTCCAGCAAGAGCGTCAATGCAGCAACAGCACCGAGCCCGGCTTGTTCGTGCCCTGTGGCTTTGATGATAGCACTGCTGCCGTCGTTGTTTACCATGCTCGGATCACCTTTCGCTTCCAGCAGCAGCTTCAAGGTATCAATGCTGCCCTTTTCTGCGGCTGCTATGATTGGGGTGTTCCCAGACTTGTCTGCTATGCTTGGGTCGCATCTTGCTGCCAATAGCAGCGCCAAGCCACCAATGTTGCCGTTTGTCACAGCACTGCCGACTGCGCTGCCACCTTTCTTGTTTGTGAGGGTCGGGTCACATCTTGCCGCCAAGAGCAACTTCAACTCATCTGTGCGTGCATCCATCGCAGCTGTGATGATGACTGGGGTGTTGCCCCTTTTGTTGGCAATGCTCGGATCGCTTCTGACCTCCAAAAGGAGCTTCAACACACCAATACTTCCCCTCGATGCCGCCCTCAAGACTGGAGTGTCACCATCCTTGCTGGCGACCGTTGGGTCGCATCTCGCTTCCAAGAGAGCCTGCAGCGAATCGGTCGTCTGCAGCGCTGCGGCCGTCAAGATCAACGGCTCACCGTCCCTGCCGACAGTCTGAGGGTCACACCTGGTCTCGAGCAACATCGGCAACAAAGCTGCTCTGCCATTTCTTGTAGCAACGATGACTGCACTGTCGCCCAGGGGATTGCGCGCCTCTGGATCACACCGTGCCTGCAGCAACAGCTGCAAAGCGGCGCCATGACCTCCCCGTGAAGCCAGTAAAGCCGCATTGCTGCCATCCTCGTCGGTTGATCTCATGTCTGCGCCAAGCTTCTGAAGCGCCCTCAGCACATCCACCTTTCCGGCTCGCGCTGCAAGATGAGAAGCAACTCCCAAACGGGTCTCAGCTGTGCACACGTCTTGTCCCTGCGCATGAAGTACTTCTATCACACCACCATGCCCAGCAAAAACAGCCTCACGGAGCAGCGAGTCCTCCTCGTCGGCTGTCCAGAACTCCTGCACCAAATGCTCGGCACCGAGGCCCACAGCCAAATGCAATCGGCTGTCCCCGAACACCGCACGTGTTGGGAACAGGCACAGGCATCGAGTTCGCAACAAGGCTTGGTAGATCAAAACCCCAAGCATGGCCAGTAGGTGCATTGTGAGACCGACGCTCATTAAGATTTCCAAGACGGGCTCTGCAGCAAGGGAACAGGCACCGTGGGTCACGGTTGCATACCTGTGCACCATCACGATGACAAAAAAAATAACGAGATTGCTGCGCCAGAGCGTCGCACACAATTGGAGGCGTAGCTGCGCACAGAGATCTGCGGGGAAGCAGGGCCAGGGCATGCCGCAGAGGCAAAGCAGGCTGAATCCTATAGAGCGTTCTGTGTTGCGCTGGTGCGGCTCCATCTGATATCGCGCATCGCTATTCGGGGTGCCTGGGTGTGATCTCGCCGGTCTGGGCCAACCTTCATCCTTCAACTCCTGGAGCGACGGTTGCAGACACCTCCGCCAATACAGAACACACGCTGCCAGCTCACACAAGAAGATGAAGGGTATGCAAGGACGTGCATCAGGATCCAGAACCATACATGCCACAATCCAGAAGATCACCCGCGATCCCATGTCTGTAAGGCGCCAGAGCCACAAAGCTGTTCGGGGTAGCTCCACCTTTCCTTCACCTGGATTGGCCCTAACAAGCTGCTGCAACAGATTCGTACATAAGATCCTCTTACGCCCAATAAAGCAAAGTACAAAACATCCCAAAGGCCTGCCGAATACTCTACTGCTAAGTGCCCTAACCCCGAAACCCTACACGTAAACCTACTACTAAGCTACCTAGTCACCCTCCTGGAGAAAGAAGAAGGCAGAATTGGTTGCATGAGCCGCAAAACCCAGCTGTAGCACGAAGGCCATGCAGAGCCTTGGTTTTTGTGAGCCCTCTCATTTTCTGCAGATCCCCACTATGGCCATTGTGGTAACTAAGACTAAGTTCCCTGACCCTAAACCCTTATTATAGAACCCTTGAAAGAAGCCTATATTTTGGCAATTTAAACTAAGCTAAGTTCCTTAACCAGAGCCCAGGAGCATCGGTGGGTTGCTTCCTGGCATAGCTTCGAAGGCTAGGACGTGGAGCTGAATGAGGCTGGACGGGACTGCCTCTCTTCTCTCGTAGACACACCCAACAAAGCTCAAACTTGCCAAATAGACCCAGTGAATTACGTGTAAGGCCAAACAGTTTAAAGTTCTCCCGTTGGCTGAAACCCTAAACCCCTAAACCCTAAACCCTAAACCCCTAAACCCCTAAACCCTAAACCCTAAACCCCTAAACCCCTAAACCCTAAACCCTAAGCCTTAAATGTCTGAGCTGCCCCAACCAGGCCCATCGCAAGGTTAAGCGATACGTTTGTCCGCGGCCTCTTGGGAGGCAATGCCACGATAAGGCTGAATAATGAGAACAGCTTCACGAATGCCAGCAGACCGCCGAACCACCAAATTCCCCCGGCAAAGTAAGTTCTTGCGACATAGATGCCGGAGATCAGCTCGACCAGTCGAAATGCACAAGCTTCTGCCTCCGACAACCCCAAAATCGCCTCCTCCCATTGCAAGCTGCTCTCCTCTGATTTTCCCAAACAAGCATCCCTACAACGCAGAATACCGACCGGTGCCAGCGTGACCACAGACACAGCAAGGATCAGCCACAACCACGGCCAGTGCTGAGGATGCGATATCCATCGCAGGCTTTGCCTGTAGAGCCTCTGCAGAAATGAAGGCACTGCAGCTGAATGCGCCTGCGCTTCCTCAGAGCGAAACCGGAAAGAGACATTTCGTCACCCAGATACGAACTGCTAAAGTTGTGATGCTGCAGATCCCGCAAACTACCTACAAGTACCTGCACTACTTGCAAGACATGCATCGGCGACCAGGCAGGGCTTCACGCGATCCCACGTCCTCTCGAACGCCTGGAGGCCGAGGACGTCGACGGCTGCCTCAGCTTCCTCGCGGCGGAGCATCCGGCCTGACATCTGTCAGGGTTTTTCAAGCAAGTCACCCGCGAGGGGGCGCAGCAACCGAACTCAAAGCAACCAGCCTTGCATCGGGGATGGAGTGACGGGTGGCCATCCCGAGAAGATGGAGGCCGAGCATAAGGTAACAAGTGGGAGCAAGATCGCCCATGAGAGACTGCACAGCCCGGACTTTGCCGGGTCCAGCTTTCGGGGCACGAGACAGCGCGTCATAAGCCCTCCCTCGTCAGCCAAGGTAACAGGTCAACTCACTGGTGCACACAAGCTTAAATTAGTGCGACACCTACCCTGCAGCTGCAGACGGGACTAAACCCTAGGAACCACCCCACTCTCTTCAAACCCTAGAAAAGCTTTCTTAGACGGCGGCCGTGCTCGGACATCTGGACTGCTTCCGCACACGGAGAACCTCTCAAGGAATCGTGATCTCAGACCTAATTGGGGCTTCGGGTTCGGGATTTGGTGAATTTACCGTCGGCTCTTTTTCGGCTCCCAGACCGGCTTCATGAGGGTTTGAATGGCTTCTATCAAACTACTAACCCTAAACTCTGAACCACATTCATTACATAAGCCCGAGACTCGAATACTGAAGAGCTGGACTCCGGTCCTTTTTCGTGTAGAGGGACAATAGGGGGTTTAGGGTTTAGGGTTTTGGGTTTAGGGTTTAGGGTTTTTGGGTTTAGGGTTTTGGGTTTAGGGTTTAGGGTTTAGGGTTTTGGGTTTTGGGTTTAGGGTTTAGGGTTTAGGGTTTTGGGTTTAGGGTTTAGGGTTTTGGGTTTAGGGTTTAGGGTGTGTCGATGCTCCGCGCACACCACCAGGTTCAACGCTCTCGCCCTACCCGCCCACCCAGTCTATGACCTTTGTCGGGTTTAGGGTTTTTTTCAAGGTTTGTGGCTTGGTCTGGTGGTGGCCCAAAATCATAGCAAGGGCGGGGCAGGGCAGGGCAGGGCAGGCAGGGCAGGGCAGGGCGGTAGGGCCAGGCCAGGGGGTCTGGGCGGTTGTCAGGGCAGGGCCAGGGTCAGCAAGGGCCGGCCCAGGCAAGGCAGGCCCAGGCCCAGGCAGGCCCAGGCCCAGGCAGGCCCAGGCCAGGGCCAAAGGGATGGGGCCCTCCAAGGTTGGAGGTTTAGGGTCACATTGTTCTGATTGGCTAGCATGCCTGTCACATGCGCCAGCACCTGAGCCGGTGCTGGGGCTCCTCCGCTGCGCCTGTCGCGCCAGCTCCGGAGCCAGCCTCACTGACGCTTCGGCACGCTCGCTGCTGCTATTCGCAGCGCCCGCAGCTCGCTTCAGTTTAGGGTTTTGGGTTTAGGGTTTAGGGTTTAGGGTTTTGGGTTTAGGGTTTTGGGTTTAGGGTTTAGGGGATACTATTACTGCTTCTTCCTGCCCCTTTCTCACCCACGCAGGATCGCTGCACCTCCGACACTTCACATAGAGACCGGTTTAGGTTTTAGGGTTTACGGCACCCACCCTAAATGCGGACGAGACCAACTACCGCATCCGAGCGCATCTCTCACGTGAAACCTGGAACCCTAAAATCCTGGCTCACCCGCTTTGGAAGCCCACCCGACATCCACCAGAAACTGCTTGTGACAGAGCCCTTCCGAATCGGGTTAAGTTCACCCCCTAAACCCTTCTAAACCCTAAACCCCCTCTAAAACCCTAAACCCTTCTAATTCTAAACCCTAAACCCCCTCTAAAACCCTAAACCCTTCTAAACTAAACCCTGAATCCAGGCACCGGCAAGATCACGAAGCCGAGGACCCGCGAGTTCTGAATCCCACCTCCACGTACGCGGGAGCGTGGCTTTATGGTTTAGGGTAGTTTAAGGGTTTTGGGCTTTGGGGTTTAGGGTTTTAGGGTTTAGGGTAGTTTAGGGTTTATGGCTATGGTTTAGGGTCTTAGAGTTTAGGGAGTTTAGTGTTTAGGTTTTGCGCTTTACGCATTAGGGGTTTGAGTTTAGGGCTTAACACAGGATTAGCAGATCAGAAGCAAGACAGCTTCCCGATGCAAGTACGGAGTGCTTTCGGAAACGCTGCTCTGAGAAATCCATTAGGCTTGAGGGTTTTGGGGCCTTAAGAATTAGAATAGGGTTCCTTTAAAGGGGTCTAAAACGGTTACGATAAGGGATCTCTAAAAGAGCGGCCTTAAAAATTAGAATGGGGGAGCTGGGGCCGACTATACTATAAGTATAACAAGGCGCCCCAAAATAGTATCTTTCCCCACAACTCACGGCGTCTTCGACGACCTCTGCTATGTACATCCTGCCAAGCTCTGCAGACAGTTTTTGTCCGAAGAACGGCCTGGAGCCGCCCCAGCTACCTTGAGCTCGACGGCTACTGGAGCATTCTAGGTTCTTCGAACCCAAGCAAACATACCACGGAGCTGCCTCGATTCAGCTGCTCCGGTATGCTTCACAGGTATAGGGTTTAGAAACAAGCTGTCGATGTCAAAAGAAGTATAGTAAGCCCCAAAAAGTTGGAAACCGGATTAAGGCCAAATAGTGCTGGGATTCCCTATACATTACTCTTAAGGATCGAGGCTATGGGGTTTCCAACTTTTTGGCCTCTACTGTATAAACCCTAAACCCTAAACCCCAACCCTAAACTCTAAACCCCTAAACCCCTACTGTAAGTAGAAGCCGACAAGTTTCTGGCTCTCGGGCAGTGTGAGTACTCAACCGAGCATCCGAGCTTCCAAAACTCAGTGGCGACACTATGTGATACGGCTGATGGACAAAATCCTAAGGGTTCCTTTAAAGGGATCTATAAGGGTACCGTTAAGGGATTCTATAGGGTTTAGGGTTTAGGGTGATGATATAAATCCTGCATGACCTTAAGGGCCCTAAACTATGGGAATTATGGTATATTCCTGATAACCATCCACCGTAGTTAGCTGTGATAGTTAGCAAATACTGACCACCTAGCGAGGGGCTCTCTTGCAAGAAGTTCCCGCTCCACTGCAGAGATTTGCGACAGGGCCACACTCCAGGCAATTAGTTTGATACTTCTGCAACAATCAAATGCATATCGAGGTGTGGCCAAATACCCAAAACCCCCAACCCTAAACCCTAAACCCAAAACCCGAAACCCTAAACCCAAAACCCGAAACCCTAAACCTTAAACCCTAAACCCTAAACCCCAAACCCTAAACCTTACGCCCCAAATAATTGCCTTCTTCGACCAAAACTTGCGGTTCGATCCCGGGACCTCTGACTTTCATCCCCAGGCCTGCCCCAGAGCAAAAGCCCTTAGGATATCCTACAAAGGGTTTAGGGTTTGGGGTTTAGGGTTTGGGGCTTAGGGTTTGGGGTTTAGGGTTTAGGGTTTGGGGTTTAGGGTTTGGGGTTTAGGGTTTAGGTAGGAATTCTGTGGCTTCAGACAGGCATAGAAAGTATCTGGTATCCTATTGCTCGAAGATATCATTCTGTGGCTTCAGAAAGGCGTCAAAGAAACAGAACCCTCAGAAAGGTATTTCCTATTATTCTATGGCTCAAGATACACCTTTTCTGAAGGGCGCCACTTCTTGGATGCTTCAAACGGACCCCCTCCAAAGCCTCCAAAACCCCTTAAGTAAGGAATATACCTTAAATTATAATAGGATCCCTTATATGATTTAAGGTATATTCCTTAATTAAGGGGTTTTGGAGGCTCTGGGTACCAGACCTCAAGGGGGTCTGGGCGCTCGAGGGAGACGCGAGGGGCCAACTGGTCGCTGCTTCGGCCCGGAAGGAAAGGACTCTTCGGAGGAGTCGTCGGAATGGTCCATCAGCTCGTCTGCGGGGCGGATAGAGTTTAAGGGCTCGGGGGTCGGGGGTTGAAGGGTTTGGGATGTAGGATTTGTCAAGAAATGGGGCTTCGCGTCTGAAAGCTGAGGGTATAAGTGCTTTCAGGAACAGGAAACTGATTCAACGCGGAACCCTGAACCCTAAAGATTAGACAGGAAGATGCATAAAGATATTTTCACAGGACAATACGTAGAGCAGAAACTACTTGCTCCTGATACTCTAAGACTGACACCGTACCGGCAGTAAAGACAGGGATGTCCAGCAGAGTCCGGATGGCCATGATTGTAGATAGATAGACAGACAGACTGTTAGACACGTAGGTAGATAGATGGATAGATCCATCCATCGATAGATATATGTATCTAGGTAGGTATCTATGTATGTATGTATGTATGTATGCATTTAATTATGTATGGGTGCATGATTGCATACATGTCTGCTAGGTCGGCAGCCGTGCAGGCAGGTAGGTATCCATGTGTGCGTGTGTGTATACACATATACATCTGTATACATATATACATATATATATATATGTATGTATATGTATGTATATGTATGTGTATGTACGTATATGTATGTAAATGTATGTAAATGTATGTATATGTATGTATATGTATGTATAAGTGTGTATATGTATGTATATGTATGTATGCATGCAGATGGTAAGGGAACAAATAAAGACTGCAGACATGGATGTAGATATGGATACAGATATAGCAATAAGAAGAGATACAGATTCAGACAAAGATTAGAGCTTAGCGAGAGGGAAAAGATAGAGATAGAAGGGTGAAGATAGAACATAGAAGGTACAAGGAAGAAGATATAAGAGATAAGATGAAAGATAAAAATAGAATTAAAATATAGAAAAAAGATCTCGTAACACACCAAGAGGCTCACAAGAGTCCGGAAGAAGTCGTTGCAAGAAGAAGTCGCTACTGAACCCCACAGGAACCTATGCTTTAGGGCATTGGGTTTAGGGCTTAGGGTTTAGGGATCCTAAACTGGCCGCAAACCTTAAACAAGAAGCGCAGAAACGTGCCGAAAGATGTCGGGAAGTGTCGGGGAGCAATCTTATCCAAACCGTCTCTTCCAGAACCGAGGCTTTAGAAATTCTCCACGGTGCCTTGCACAAAGCCTGTAACTAATCGGCCTTAATGACTTGAATAGGGTTCAGGGTTTAGAGTTGCTTGAAAGGACTGAAAGGACTACTATAAGGGTTCTGTAAGGGGCTATGGTATCTTATGGACGTCTCAGAGCAGGTTCAGGCAAGTTGATTGAAAACATGCCGAAGACCCTACAAAAAAACAAGCATCCCTCCCGGTCGCTATGACTGTTTAGGACGCAGGGTTCATATGTAGGGTGCTTATGGCCTCGGGCGCAGGGCTTCGGGGCTGCAGGGAGTAAAAAAGGATCCTGAACCCCTCAACCCTAAACCCTAAATCCTCAACCCTAAACCCTCAACCCTAAACCCTAAATCCTCAACCCTAAACCCTCAACCCTAAACCCTCAACCCTCCAAGGGTTTGTGGCTTTGCCAACTGGCATCGAAAAGCCGCGGCTTGAGAAACACGTCCCCGCCTCGAACATCTTCCAAGACCCACTCGAAGATTCCAGTTCCCCACGCCTGCCAGGGGAGGTCGCTCCTACATCCCCCTTTTACGGTTCATTTAAGCTTTAGAGTTGAAAAAGTCTAGGGTTTAAGGCTTGGGGTTGAGAGTTTAAAGGTTTAGGGTTTAAGTTTTAGGGTGGGGTCTATGAGGGTTACTATAAGGGCTATTATAAGGATCTAGTATAGGGGCCTGAATAATTAGAATAGGGTTCCTTTCAAGGAATCCATAAGGGATCTATAAGGGTACTATAGTATAGGAGCCTTAATTTAACGAGGGTTTCTGGACATATGATACTATAATCATAATCAGGAGCCCCCTATTGGGGCTTTTATTTTCGAAGGCCTCTTTCTACATCCCCCTTTAGGTTTAGGGTTTCAAGGTTTAGGTTTTAGGGTGTAAGGTTTGAGGTTTAGTCAGAGCTTGAGGTTTTGAGGGTTTGGGGTTTGGGGTTTAAGGGTCTAGGGTTAGGGGTTACAGTTGTCATAGGGTTTGTACAAGACGGCTGCACGCCTAAATCCGTAGGTACCGACTTCGAACACGAAAACGAGGGAACCCAAGATTTCGACGAATCCTAGTGGATCTTCTTCAAACCCCACAGCCCGCGACCCGGAATCCTAAACGCCGTAAACCCTCAAACCTGAGAACTCAAACCCTAAACCCTAAAGCCCCAACCCTGAAACCCAGAGACTCCAATATCCCTTAATTAAGGAATATACCTTAAATTATAGTAGGATCCTTAATATGATTTAAGGAATATTCCTTAATTAAGGGATATTGGAGTCTCTGGGAACCTCAAACCCTGGAACCCCAGAACGAAAACCCTGAACCAAGGAGCTCTCTCACAGGCCTGCACACAACACCCTCTGAAACTGCGCAAAAAAACCCACGAAGCCCTGTAAGCTCCGATAAAGCTCTCCAAAATGGGAGTTTCCGAAAATAGGGGACCCTAATATAGTACCCTGAATAGTAGGATCCTTATTATGAGAACCCCTAAATAAGGTACCCCTAATTTTCGGAAACTCCCAAATCTATACAACCCTTGCGGGAACTCACCGGCCTGGTACTTGGCAGAGGGCGGTCTGTGTCGCCACGCAGCGGCATTGAGATGCATCCGGAAGTGCCCGTCTAAGCTCACGGCCGGATACCTGGGGTTAGGGTGTAGGGGTAAGGGTGTAGGGTTTAGGCTGTAGGATTTAGGGTGTAGGGTTTAGTAAAGTCTTGGGTTTGAAGGTGTAGGGTTCACCTTAGTTACAAGTTTGAGCTTATGGCCGGATACCTGGACTTCATGGGCGTTGGGGATTCAGGGTATTAGCGTCTAGGGCTTGGGGTTTCGAGCTTGGTGGATTTCTGTGCTTATGGCCGGATAGGGTATTGGGGTTCAGGCTTTAGTAGGGTTTAAGGTTTTAGGGTTCGGGGTCTAATGTTTAGTTTGGGCAGGTAGGGTTTAGGGTTCATGGCCGGATACCTGGACTTCATGGGCTTTGGGGTTAGAGTTTAGTAGGGCCCAGGGTCGATTGTACAGGCTTTAGGGTTCAAAAGTGGATTCAAAGTCACTACTGGAACCAATGAGAGCAATGAGCGAGGAGAGAGAAACAAATGTTTATCAAAACCGAGAATGCCCTAGACCCAAGAGTAACTCAGGAATAAAAAGGGTGCCCTTTTGGTTCAAAGGGGCTGATAAGGGAACCTGAACCCTAAAAAAGGGAATAAGGGCTTACTCTGGGTCCTAGTGCCAATGCGATACGAAGCAGGATTCAACCCGCAAGATGAGGCTCAAATCAGGGGCCACAATGGGCCACAGGAAGCAGCAGGCATAGTAGCAACAGCAGTGCGAGTGGCAAGTTCTTCATGGTAACCTAAATCATCATCAACATCATCACCAACCATCATCATCAACAACAGCAGCAACAATATCACCATGAGGATTTAGGCTTTACGGTTTTGGCTTCAGGGTTCAGGGCATAAGGCTTAGGAAGAAGCTTGGTACCTTAGCTTAGCACCCTACACGCAGAAGGAACAACAACAACGACAACGACACCAACAGTCCTCGTCGTGGTGCCGGTGGCAAAGGTGGCGGGGGTGGTGGGGGTGGTAGGGGTGGTGGGGGTGGTGGCGGCGGCTGTGGTGGTTGTTGCCATGGCAGCAGCTGCAGCAATGATAAGTGTAAAAACTCGAAACGATGTCAGTACACTTTAGTGCTTGGCTTGGGTGCAGACTGCGGTCGCCCTTCTGGAAGTTCATGCGATAGGCAGCCTCTTAGGGTTTAGGGTTTAGGTTTAGGGTGAGTGCAGTGGTCGTGGACGACTTCGACAACAAAAGCGGGTTTGGAATGTAGGAATTGAGGCCGCAAGGCTTGAGTGGTCCGACAATCAGGTCAGTTGTTGAAGATGCTCATGTAGGGGCCTTAATACTTCGCGTCGCGGAGACTAGGCGCCCAGACTTCTGCCAAAACGCACCTTTAGCAGCAAAACTGTGCAGATAACTCCGCCGGGCCCAGGGATTGGAAACTCTGTACTAACCCACCCTAAACCCTGTGCGATGAGGAGGTGACCTAATCTGTTTAAGGTTAATGAACAGTTTTACGGATGTTCTTGTCGAGTGTGCGACTTCGCAGTGCCACATTACAAAACACGTCAGCGCAGGATGCGGTGAATTGCCGGGAAAATAGCTTCTTTAGGGACACAAGACTGGTCCGGGTCACACCTTGTAGTTACTGCCGTCCCCCGTCCCTCCCCAAGGAACACGAGAAACCATGCAAATCAGTGAGCGTTTGACGAGAACGTTCACGCCTCCCCACCCCGGACACATGGAACGACGCAAATCACTGTAGGAACCCGATCTTAATAAGGATCCATATATATTCGGGTTGTAGGGCCAGGGTTTCCTGTTCTTAACCACCCCGCTCCCCTCCGCCCTCCGGAAAGGTACGAATCACATCAGCGAAGATCAGCCCGGGGTCGCGGGCACGGTACACTATAGACTATAAATACGGGAGCTTCCGGAAATTGTGGGTACCTTATTTTCAGGTCCTTATAACAAGGATCCTACTATTTAGGGTACAACATTAAGGTCCCCTATTTTCGGAAACTCCCATATAAACAGATGCAAGAGAATGCTGCTGCTAACCATTCCGACCGAAAAATGTGTCGGGCCTCTTCGTGCCACGTGCCATCCCGGTCGGAGATGCGCATGATCCCCTCATCCAGGTCTATCGCTAGACCGAGCCAGTCGTCAGGACGCCAACGGGCCATGTTAGCCTGTGCAAGGTCCAGGGTGTATGGCTTTGGGTTTGGGGGTTGAGGCATTGGGGTTAAAGTTTTGGGAATCGCACCACCATTCCAAAACAACGAACAAAGGAACAAAAGGACAAAGCATGTTGACACTAACAATAAACATAGTTCCTTGGAGATCCCATGAGAGTTATGTAGGAGTCTTAATAATTAGAATGGGCTTGGGGCATCAATTATAGTATACGTTATCATAAGCAACTGCAAGGAAATGTATTGGTAACTAATTAGTTAAGCCCCTAGATAGCACCCTGACCCCTAAATCTTCATAGAGCCCTTATAGATTCCTTAACTAGGATACCCAGTAACCTAAGAATAAAAAGGCCTCTCTTTTTGGTATTGGGTAACTTTATAAGGAACCTAGGACTACAAAAAGGGAATAAGGGTGCTACTGGGCATCCCAGTTAAAGATCACTTAAATTTTCCCTTTGGCTTTTGCGACAGCAAAATGACAAGAACCTCTGTATTATTGTCCCGAACATTATACACTCCTTATAGAAATCCTTATAGGAGCCCTTCAAGGAACCCTTAAAGTCCTCATGGAAGGATGTAGGCCTCCGTGCTTTGTAATCCCCACTAAACCACTACTGGAGCGACCACCCTGTATTATTGTAGCAAAGCACTCTACACCGCTTGTAGCAATCCTTATCGAAGCCCTTGAAGGAAGTCCTTATTAAAGGATGGAGCCCTTCTTACTGGAGCGACCCCCCACCCAGCCTCCGTCTGTCTTTTGTCGTGCCACTGAGCTGCGCGCTGGGCATCAAACGCCCAGCCCTCGGCATCAGCGCCAACGCCTCCGGAGCTGCTAAACGAGGCTGTTCACCAAGCCCTTGGGGAAAAGTCAAAAACATTTTGGGGTAGTTATATTGTAGGAGCCCAATGCAAAACAGCACCAAATCCTAAATTTCCAAGGTTTAAACTCGAAACGATATAAACCCAGTATATCCTGAAGCCATCAAAAGCCTGAACCCTAAACGTACCCCACAGTTACTCCGAGACCTCAGATCCTGAACCCCGAATCCTAAGACTTACTCTCAAGCGCGAGATGTGGTATTGCGCAGGTCTGAAACCCAGATCTTCGGGAGGATCTAGAAAGCAGATCTCCTAATTTGGGGCCCTGTACTACCAAGGGTACTCACTCTAAAGGAACCCCCATTAAGGGATCTACCTTTTTGGATCCTCCCGGGGGTCTGAAACTCAGACGGTTCAGGCAAGGGGCTCTTGGGGGGACCGAATGTCGAACCCTTCGTAGCAGGATCGAACTGCGTCGTCAGCCAGCCGAGCTGAGCAGCTTCTATGAAACTTAGCCTGGGTTCTTGTTAAGAAACTTATTTCCGGCTAATTACTATTCGGATCTATGATTTGGAACTGGGTTTCTTGTGTTCCTTTGTTATGGTAACTGAAAATCAAATTGCTTATCGGGAACCCAGTAGCAGCTCCACCTCGTGATAGAGCTTCCCAGAGCTGCGGGCAACCTCCGGCACGCCGCAGGTCAGAACGATGAACGAGCTGTCCCTTGCAGAAGGCGCGAAATTGCTGGGCAGAAAAGCTGTAAGCCCACGAAGCTGTCCTTGCAGCTTGGGCTGTCGCACATGAATTTGCTCTCTGAGCTGCTTGGCGAGTTTGGGCCTGTGGTAAGCCAGGGCTAGTGCTTCGGTGCTGCTGAGTGCTAGCTGGCGAACATCTTCTCCGTCCGCCCAGGCAGGCGGATGAAGGAGCCACTGAACTGCCCGACTCTGCAGATCCATCACCTCGCTCGCTTTGTCCAGAGCTGTGTTGTTGCCACCGGTCCGCAGATCAAGCTCGCACCTTGCCTCGAGAAGTAGCCGCAACGCAGTCATCGCACCTGTCGCAGCGGCCAACGATACCGCCGTGTCACCGTCCTTGCAGGGACCATATGATTATCAACACCAGAGCCCAACATGACGATAGCAGAATGTACCGCCGATCCCGATTCTAATTCTCAAGGCCCCTTTACCCTTAAATCCTGAATAAACCCCTGCACAGGGGAACCCTTCCTTGATGCTGATTATTGAGGCAACCCTAAACCCTAAACCGTAAACCCTTCCTTGATTCCTGATTATTGGGGCCCTCCCCGTCCTTGTTTCGAGCCGTCAAGTCGCAGCGTTCACGGAGTAGGAGACTGACAGCCTCATGATGGCCTTCTCGGGCTTCTCATACCCTAAACCCTAAACACTAACCCTGAGCATCATACTATAAGCATAGCTCCAGCTCCAGGTGTTGCTAATTGTTTGCGCCCCTATATTTGCCTTCTCTCACTGCCAGCATCACCGCCGTATCTCCAGCGATGTTGGCAGCTTCAGGATCGGACCTCGCCCTCAGCAGGGCCTTCAGCGCCTCAGTTTTAGGGTTTTTTTTTGAAAGCCCCTTCAAAAAAAAAAAAAAAAGGGTTTAGGGCCTAGGGTTTAGGGGTTTGGGGTGTAGGGTGTAGGGTTTAGGGGTGTAGGGTTTAGGGCCTTAGAGTGTAGGGTTTACCGGTTTCGGGTGTAGGGTTTAGGGCCTTAGGGTGTAGGGTTAGGGGTTTAAGGGTCTTCAGCGCCTCAGCCTTGCCCGTCCTTGCTGCAACTGTCGCTGCAGATTCACAGTAGATCGCCCGAGATGTTCTCCTAGGCTTTGAAGTAACCAGGGAGAAAAACAGTATAGACTTTTATGTCTTCGTGATCCCCTTTAAGCACCAGGTCCCAAAAAATGTATCAGAGTATGGTACTGCAAAGCCCAGCGTCTTGTGTGGATCACACTTGGCACGGAGCAGAATATCAAGTGCATCGACCTGCCCGCCTATGGTTGCGAAGATCAGCGGAGTGAAACCCATCCATGTGTCGGCAGACTCCGCATCGCATCGAGTCGCGAGGAGCATCTTCAGCACATCAAGATTTCCCGTGGTGGCGGCAGGCATGACTGCTGTGAAGCCGTGCTTGTCGACACCGCACGGGTCGCATCTCCTGGGTTCTTGTTCAGGGTTTCAGTTTAAGTTACCCACAATAAGGAAACCATACTATTTGCCAATAGATCCCTCTTATGGAAGCTTAAACTAAAGGCTTTAACAAGAACCCAGTCTCGCTTCCATCAGAAGCTTCAGTAGCTCAGCATCTCCGTGGCGTGCAGAGTAGAAGATGGCGTTCTGACCGTGCTTGTTGAGGACCCTCGGGTCGCCTCTGGCCTCCACGAGCAACTTTACAACGTCAGTGCGTCCCTTGCCTGCAGCTGCTATGATTGGCGTGTTGCCTTCCTCGTCTGCCATGCCTGGGTCGCAGTTTGCCTCCAACAGCAACTCCAATGCATCAACTTGGCCAGTTGCTGCCGCTTTGATGATTGCACCACTACCATCTTTGTTAGCGCTCCGGGGATTAGCTCTCGCTTCCAACAACAACTTTAGTGCATCCAGGCAATCATTCCCCGCGGCTGTAATGACCGGGGTGTTTCCATCCTTGTCTGCCATACTTAAGTCGCATCTTGCCTCCAACAGCAAGCTTAAGGCATCGGTGCTTTCATGGCGTGCAGCTACAATGGCAGGCGTCTCGCCGTTCTTCTCCACAAAGCTTGGGTCGCATCTTGCCTCCAACAACAGCTTCAATGCAGCAACCTCTTGTTGTCTCGCGGCGAACATGACTGCACTGCTCCCACGCTTGTTTACGATCTTCGGATCGCCCCTTGCCTCCAAGAGCAACTTCAAGGCAGCGGTGCTATGAACATTGTAAGCAGCTTTTATGATTGGGGTGTCTCCAGAATTATCTGCAATGCTTGGGTCGCCTCGTGCATGCAACAGTAATTCCAATGGCTCCAATGCACCAAGGTGACTGCCAAGGTGGATACTTGCCACGGCCTGCATGACTGCACTGACACCTTTCTTGTTGGTGACGTTCGGGTCGCATCTGGCCTCCAACAGAAACCTTAAGGCATCTCTGTGTCCACTTGTTGCGGTGACGATGACCGGAGTGTCTCCCGTTTTGTCCGCAAGGCTTGGGTCACACCTGTTCTCCAGCAGCAGCTTCAATGCGTCGACCGTTCCACTGGCTGCTGCACGCAAGACCGCAGTGACGCCACCCTTGCCAACGATCTTCGGATCGCATCCCGCCTCTATGAGGGCTTTCAGTGAATCGGTCCCGAGAAGTGAGGCTGCCGTCAGGATCAAGGGCTCACCGTCCCTGCCGGCAGTCTGCGGATCACACCTGGCCTCCAGCAACATCGGCAACAAACTAGTTGCTCCGTTTTCTGTAGCAACGACGACCGCAGTGTAGCCATCGCGGTTGCGTGCCTGTGGATCGCACCTTGCTTGCAGCAAGAACTGCAAAGCGGCACCGTGGCCTCCCTCTGATGCCAGCAACCTTACCGTTGGTTAGCAGGGAATGGAGGAATGGGGTATAATTATAACTACTATTACTACCATATTACTACCATATTACTATCATATTACTACCATATAGCTACTATTACTACCATTCTTCCATTCCCTACGAACCAGCGGTAAGTTATAGGATCATTAAGGCCCCTCTAGAATAGTACCCTGATGGATCCCTTATAGTAACCCTTATAGACCCCTTTATAAGGCCCCTTCCATTCCCTACTAACCAAAAGTATGTTCAGCTGCTTCGTCCCTAAACCCTAAACCCTAAACCCTAAACCCTAAACCCTAAACCCTAACCCTACTAACCAGCGGTAAGCAACGCCGCATTGCTGCCATGTCGGCCCGTTGCGCTGGGATCGGCTCCGAGCTCTCGAAGTGCCCTTAGCCTTACCGCTGGTTAGTAGGGAATGGAAGAATGGTAGTAATAGTAGTTATATAGTAGTGATATGGTACTAGTATGGTAGTAATATGATAGAAATAGTAGCTACATGGTAGTAATATGATAGTAATATGGTAGTAATATGGTAGTAATAGTAGTTATAATTATACCCATTCCTCCATTCCCTACTAACCAACGGTAAGTAGCACATCTACCTTCCCAGTTCGCGCTGCAGCTTGAAGGGCAAGTCCAGACTGGGTCTCGGCCGTGCACACGTCGACTCCCTGCGCATGAAGTATTTCTATCCTTGCTGGTCCAGTATCCAAGGGTAAAAAGGAGGGACCCTTAATAAGGACCCCCAGGTATATACCCTTAATATAGCTATTATATACCCAATATATAACCCATTATAGGGTAGGGGTCCCCATTAAGGGTCCCTCCCTTTCCCCTTTGACAGTAACGTAGGGGAACTAAAGGTTAACTTTCGGGACTATGTAGAGGAAAGAAGTACCCCAAGAAGGTTACAGGTTAGCTACCCTGCTACTAAGCATCACACCACCATGCCCAGCGAGCACAGCTTCTTCGAGCAGCGGCAATCTGTCACTGTATGAGCCCTCCTCGTCAGCTGTCCGAAGCTCTTTCAGCAAATGCTCGGCACCGAGGCTCACAGCCAAATGCAATCTGTTGTCCCCAAACACCGCACGTGTTGGGAACAAGCACAGGCATCGAGTTCGCAACAGGGCTTGGTAGATCAAAACCACAAGCATAGCCAATAGGTGCATCGTTAGACCCACACCCATCAAGGCTTCTAAGACGGGCTCTGCGGCAAGGGGACACGCACCCTTTGTCACGGTTGGATATCTGTGCACAACCATGATGCTGAAAAAAATCACGAGATTGCTGCGCCAGAGCATTGCGCACAGTTGCAGCCGTAGCTGGGCCAAGAGATCCTAGGTGGGGCTTTTCGAGCCTTTGGAAAATATTAGTAAATAAGATCCCCTCAAGCCCAATAAGGGAAAATATAAAATGTCCCAAAGCCCTACCTAGGATCCGCTGGGAAACATGCCCAGGGCATTCCGCACAGGCAAAGCACAAGAAAACCTATCTGGCGATCCCTCGTGTGAATGGAATGCTCATCCAACGACGTTTGCAAACACCTTCTCCAGTACAGACCACACGCTGCCAGCTCGCACAAGAAGATGAAGGGTATGCAAGGACGTGCCTCACGATCCAGAACCATACATGCCACCACCCAGAAGATCACCCGCGATGCCATGTCTGCAGTGCGCCAGAGCCACAAAGCTTTTCGCGGAAGCAAAGGCTGCTCCTGAGATTCATCTCCTCGGAGACACCTGGGATCTTGTTCGGGATCTCTATTTAAGTCAGGGTTTGGGGCTTAGGATTAGGGGTAGGGTTTAGGATTTATTTGGGATTTAGGGTTTAGCGTTTAGATGCGTTTAGGTGGGGCTCAGAGTTTAGGGTTAGAGAACTACGTTTGAGTTGCCATAATGACATAATGAGGAATTCCCATTGTGTGCTATAGGTCCCGGTTTTTGTTAGTGAACGTCAGCCCTTAACAAGAACCCAGACACAGGAAGCCGGAGTTGGTGGTCGCAGCCGCAAAGCCCAGCTGCAGCACGAATGCCACGCAAAGGAGCCACAGCTTGCTCTCAGGGAAGCTTTCAAAAGCAAGAGCATGAAGTTGAATGAGGCTGGAGGGCACTGCCCCTAAGAGACCTAGTTCATTGTTGGGATAGGATTAAAAATGTACATTTTTATTCCTTATTGGGTTTAAGTTTAAGTACCCATAAACATGCAAAATGTTACCCAACAGTGACAAAGAGACCAGTCATCAAGTAGAATTCGACGGGGCTTCGAGGTGACCTGCTTTTTGGAACCAATGTCACGACAAAGCTGAGAGCTGAGAACAGTTTCACGAATGCCAGCATACCACCGAACCACCAAAGTCCGCCGGCAAAGTAGGTCGTTGTGACATAGATGCCGGAGATCAGCTCCACAAAGCGAAGAGCACACGCTTCTGCCTCCGACAATCCCAAAATCTCCTCCTCCCATTGCAAGCTGCTCTCCTCTGATTTTCCCAAACAAGCATCCCTACAACGCAGAATACCGACCGGTGCCAACATGACCACAGACACACCAACGATCAGCCACAGCCAGTGCTGCGGATGCGATATCCATCGCAGGCTTTGCCTGTAGAGCGACTGCACAAAAGAAGGCACGGCAGCTGAATGTGTCCGCACTTCCTCGGATCAAAAGCGGAAAGGGTTATTCATCACCCAGATAAGAACTGATGAAGATCTGATGCTGCAGATCCCGCAAACTACCTACAAGTACCTGCACTACTTGCCAGGCATGCATCGGCGACCAGGCAAGGCTTCACACGATCCCACATCCTCTCGACTGCCTGGAGGCCGGAGACCTCGACGGCTGCCTCAGCTTCCTCGCGGCGGAGCATCCGGCCTGAAATTCAGGAGCCTTAATGGGGACCCCTAAACTATAATGGCTGTATAATTGGGTATATAATGGCTATATTCAAGGTATATCTGTCAGGGTTTTTCCACACGAGGGACCTGCGAGGGGGGCAGCAACCGAACTCAAAACATCCAGGCCTGGTATCGGCGATGGAGCGAAGGGTAGCCATGCCGAAAAGATGGCGGCCGAGAGTAAGGCAACAAGTGGGAGGAAGACGGCCCATGAGCGACTGCACGGCCCGGACTTTGCCGGGTCCGCCTTCCGGGGCACGAGACAGCGCGTCATGAGCCCTCCCTCTTGAGCCAACTTACCTTTGGTTAGTAGGGAATGGAAGAATGGTAGTAATAGTAATTAAAATTGTACCCGATTCCTCCATTCCCTACTAACCAAAAGTCAGCCAAGGTAGCAGGCAAACTCACCTGTGCACAGGTCAGCTCACCCTTTAGGTGCTCGCCGGTGTCTCAGTCTCGCCCCGAAACCGTGTGCGTTCAACCTCCACCATCCTCTGAATACGTAGCAGATGAAGCTGCATGGTAGAGACTTTACATTTGCTTGCTGTACCTTTTATTTTGGGGTCCTTATGATAAGGATCCTACTATTTAGGGTACTATATTAGGGTCCCCTAGGTATGGCCCGACGAACTTCCTTCACTGACGGCGTAGATATACAAAAGAGAAGCCCTGGCGTCGTGAAGAAAACGCCATGGAGTCGCAAACAAAAACGTCGCCTAGGATACCCAGTAACCTAAGAATAGAAAGGCCTCTCTTTTTGGTATTGTGTAACTTTATAAGGAACCTAGGACTACAAAAAGGGAATAAGGGTACTACTGGAGATCCTAGCCGCTAGGGCCTGTCTCGCGGCCTGCAGAACTCCACGTGTCACCTTGGCCAGGCCCCGACAACATCCTCTCCCATTGCGTTCTGAGCATGAACCCAGAGACTCCAATATCCTTTAATTCACGAATACACCTCAAATTGTAGTAGGATGCTTCTGGGAACTTTGACGTGGGGAGGGCGGGGGAGTCTTCAGGGAGATGGGAGTCTTGAAAGGGGTCCCTAGACCCTCAAACCCAAACCCTAAGCCCCTAGTACGCACCTAGAGTTTAAGAGGTGTCCCACTCATCCTACTCTTTAGGGCTCGATAAGAGCCCCTCCTTCTCTGAAACTGCCATCTGTATCTTTGGTGGTAGCTGCTTGCAGAGGCTCTGGGGGGTTCGTGAGTCGCAAGGTGTGCACTGCGGCACACTAAATTATTATGTGATGGCATGATGCACAATGTGTATGTTCCCTTCACGTGTAGCTTTTCAATCAGGGCGTCTATATAACAACAAGTATAACTTGACTCAGTCCCCAGATCCTCCAAGTCAGTCCGAGCCCCCGAAGTCAAGAGAAAAGCAAAACTTGGAGAAGGGCACGTCCAGAGCTTTAGGGTTTAGGGCTTAGGGTTTAGGGTTTTTCAGAAGAAACTCTCTCAAAAGAGCGGCCTATAAGGATAGTTCTCTCTTCTTCAAGAACCGGGCCCCAAAAAGTTCTCAACCTTTCTAAGATAGAGCCAACATATAAGGCCAAAAAGTTTAAACTTCCCCCGTTCACTATCTAAGAGTTTTCAAAGGTTCCTCAAAGAAAGACTATGATTTAGCCCAGGAGAGACCGGCCCGGGTGCACACGAGACCATCAGGGTATCTGAGGGCTGCGCTTGCGAAGTGCAACGGCATTACAGCCGAAAGGACGTGACGTCGCTACCCACCTTCGTCCGGAAGCAGAAGCTGGAACAAAACAACACAAAGCGGAAGCAACGCGAACCTTGTTCTGCAACGTCGCTTCGTACAAAGCATCACTGCCCCTGAGCAACACTCTCTGCACTTCACAGACTTGTGCTGTGAACGCTCAGCTAGTCCTGGCCTAATTTGTTTGCAACGGCAACGCAGTCATTTTAAAGATTTGGAGCTCGCTGCTCCTGCAGACTGCCCGCGCACACAGAAACAAAACCTCCGCAGCGAGTCGAACTGGGTGCTGGGAGTGCACCTCTGCGACAAGCCGTATAAGCGGATGTCAGCAATTTCTTGCTCTGGAAAATTAAAGATTTCGGTGCAGGACCCCGAACTCGTGTAACGTCCTCTGCACGGCTGCTAGAAACAACTACAGTACCACTGCATCTTCCAGGCTTTGGCAACCCACACCCTAAACACTGACGGTACCATGACTGAGTCCGGACCTGCTGATTTTGTTAAAAGCAGCCTTGAAGCTAGGCAGAGCATGCTGTCTTGGTTCCCCGGTGCAGTCTACGTAGTTTCCTGGATTTGAAACTTCGCGTGTAGGGTTTAGGAAGCAGAGATGCTGTCTCGGAAAGACACCATAAAACTGCAGGGTCCCAAAACCCTAAACCCGGCCCCTTAACCCTAAACCCACCTCGGCCAAGACTTGGCGGAAGCCCTAGCTTCGAAGCGACGGCAAACTCGGAGTCAGCGGGTCAGCACTCCTCACCTGCAGGGAGCCGGTGCAGTTTCGGTGCGATTTGGGGTTAAGGGCTTAAAGTTTGGAGTTTAGGACTTCACGACGATCCCAAATGACATACTGCAGATTCGAGATGTTACGAGTAAGAGACTTGCAACCGTTACCGTTGCAAGCAGCAGCGGCAGCAGCAGCAGCAGCAGCAGCATCCGTCACTACAACCAAACAAAAGCACACAACAACAGCAGCTGCAACCGCAACAGCAGCATCAACAGCAATGGCAAGACTCGCCCCAAACGGGAGCTCTAGGACATCATAGTCGTCCTGCTACAGTAGTAGCAATAGCAATCACCAAATTCGACAACGACTCACAATAAAGAAGATAGCCATCAAGCAGCCAAGCACTGTACAATCCTCGGCCGAGTCATCCCACTCCTTACAACCAAGGAGGCAAAACGTCCGAAAACCCTGAACCCAAAACCCGAATATAGGAACCTTAATGATTATGGGGTTCTGCGGCATATGATACTATAATCATGATAAGGAGCCCCCCAACATAGTATTGGGAATTATTTAGGCCCCAACATTAAAGCATTTCGGGATTCCGACGGTGAAGATCAAGATGGCCGCCTTCTTTTTCCTCCAGCACCCTCTCGAAGACTCCAGTCCCCCATGCCTGCCAGGGCTCTGGTCGTTGGGCTTGGCGCCCTTGAGGGTTAGGGTCTAGGGTTCAACGGTTTAGGGTTTAGGGTTTAGGGTTTAGGGTTTAGGGTTTAGGGGTTTAGGGTTTAGGGTTTAGGGTTTAGGGTTTAGGGTCTAGGGTTTAGGGCGTAGGGTCTGGAATGCAGGCTTTGAAGGTTTAGGGCTTGAGTTTTGGGCTTTGGGTGGCTTCGAGTTTGAGATTTCGGGTTTGGGGTTTCGGGCTTAGGTCACGGAATCTGACACTGCTCTTTCTAAGAGAATTCATCTCCCCCTGCAGCTGCGAAGCCTGATTCCCCCCCTCCCCCGGACTCAGACCCTGCCTCTGAAAAACACCGTAAACCCTACACCCCAAGCCCTAAACCCCAAACCCTAAACCCTAAGCCCTACACCCTAAGCCCTAAATCCTATACATCAAAATCCTCAAACCCCTCAACCCATGGAGTCCCAGACAAGCCTCGTACCCCGACGACGGCGGCTGGTGCCGCCACGCGCCGGCATCGAGGTGCATGCGGAAGTACCCGGGGATGGTCACTGCCGGGTACCTGGGCTTTCCAACTCATTTTGGGACTTCGCCCTGAAGGAGCTTACTGTAGTAGGGCTTCTTCTTTAAAGACGCTGGATTGTGCGAGGTTCTGAATTTCTGTCGTTGGGCAAAACCGGAAAAGAGGTGGCAGGACTTTAGTGCGTGGCTTGGGTGCAGACTGCGGTCGCCCTTCTGGAAGGTCATGCGATAGGCAGCCTGTAGGACGGGAAGGCCCAAAAAGAGGCCACATCACATCGAAACCAGAAGAAGGTCAGTCCAAAACTCCAAAACAAAAGGTTTTAGGGTTTGGGGTTTGGGGCTGCTTTGAGTGTAATTTTGAAGGTTCAGGCCTCGTTGCGCCAGGTGCCATACCGGTCCGAGATGAGCATGGTCCCCTCATCCAGGTCTATCGCTAGGCCGAGCCGATCGTCCGGGCGCCAACGGTCCATGTTGGCCTGCGAAATAGGTCCAGAGCTTAGGGTTGGGGTTGCGGCGTAGCAGTTTAGATGTTGCCTGTGGGGTGGATTTCCTAGACGTGTTCAAATGCAGTGTCAGAAGAAACTTGATCCGACCGCAAGACGAAAGGTGGGCTCCGAAAAGCACCGCACTTCTTCACCACAGCGCCTTAACTTGTGCCCTGTACCCTTGTCGACTCTGTTTGCCATGATAACATAATATATTATGATGCAGTATAATATAGTACACAATATACTATCATATGCTAGAATATGGTATCTTATAGTATCATGCAATATAGCATTCAATCCTATCCCAACACTTCGGCTTCACAGTTGAGCCCAGAAGCGCCGGAGCCGAGGACTTTTTTTGAGATAAGCTGGCAGCTCAGTTTGGGCGGCTGGGGCTCCAGGACGAAGACCCGAATAGGGTTTAGGGTTTAGGGTTTAGGGTTTAGGGTTTAGGGTTTAGGGACCCAACACCTGCTGAACCCTGAACCCTACAGCCTAAAACCTCAATCCTAGAGCTTAAACTGGAAATGGCCTCACTGGACTTGAAGTCGTGCCAGTGACATGCACGCATGGAGTCGAAGGCCCAGCCCTCAGCATCCAAGCCGACACCTTGGGATCTGAAGGTTTGGGGTTTTTGGGTGTACTTGGGGTTTCTTGATAATCGGGGTTTACTGTTTGGCGTTTACGGTTTAGGGTTTAGGGCTGCTGATCCAGATTCCCACTGTTTCAGACAAGGGGCCTGTCGGCAGGCCACGCAGAAAATGGTTACCCTCCACCGCAGGTCCGAACTGGGTCGTGAGCCAGCCGAGCAGAGACTCACCAACAAAACCAAGGAACTCCACTTCGTGATAAAACTTCCCGGAGCTCCGAGCGAGGCTCGGCACCCCGCAGGCATCGAAAACTTTAGCATCACTGGGCGCCAGGTCTGTGAGTCCCCGCAATTGCTCTTGCAGTTCGGGCTGCTGCAAATACTGTCTTAGCACAAAAGACTCTGAAAGTTTCTTCGAGAGCATGGGCCTTTGGTAAGCTAACGTCAAAGCTTCGGTGCTGTTGAGCACAAGCTGCGATTTGGTCAAACACTCTCCTTGTTGAAGGAGCCACTCCAAGACGCGCGTCTGAACGGCCGTCACTCCGCTCGCTTCCTCGACGTCTGTCCTGCCGCCACCGTTCCACGGCTCACATCTTGCCTCGAGAAGCAGGCGCAACGCTCCAACTTCACCCGCCGCTGCAGCCAACGATACCGCGGTGTCACCATTCTTATTGCGAGTCCTCAAGTCGCAGCAGCCTTTCTGGAGCAGAAACTTCAAAGAATCGTCGCGGCCTGCACGAGCTGCGATCATGACCGGTGTGTCTCCTTGGAAGTTGACGGCACGCGGATCGCACCTCGTCTCAAACAAGACCTTCAATGCGTCAGTGCGGCCAGAGCCTGCTGCAAACATGGCTGGGGAGCAACAGAGGGCGAACTTGGAGGCTGTCTTCTGTGGGTCACCACGCGCCCTGAGCAGCACTTCCAGTGCGTCGACGTTCCCTGAAGCTGTTGCCATGTGGACTGGGGTGAAGCCGCAAAAGGCGTCTTGCCCGGAGTTGGCGTCACAACGAGCCTGGAGGAGCAGCTCCAACACCTCCACCGCTCTGCTCGTCGCTCCCGCAGCACAAAGGACGGCGGTAAACCCTTGCCTTGCGACAGCGGTTGCATCGCATCGGGTCTCCAACAGCAACTCTAGTGCATCAACATGTCCATATCCTGCTGCTCCCATCACTGGAGTGAAACCATCCTTGTTGGCAATCCCCGGATTGCACCGTGCCTCCAACAGCAGCTTCAACATGTCACAGCGTCCTTTTGCTGCAGCGAACTCCACTGCACTGCTGCCACACTTGTTGACTATCCTGGGGTCGCATCTGACCTCCAGCAGCAACTCCAAAGCATCAATGCTTTCGCCCGCCTGTGCAGCGCTGATGATTGGGGTGTTGCCATCCTTGTTAGTAGCGGTTGGATCGCACCTTGCCTCCAGCAGCAACTTCAGCACACTGACGTCTCTGCTTTTTGCGGCGAACATGACTGCGCTGCTTCCGTTGTTGCTTGCGATCTTGGGGTCGCACCTGGCCTTCAACAGCAACTCTAGTGCATCAACATGTCCATATCCTGCTGCTCCCATCACTGGAGTGCATCCATCCTTGTTGGCAATCCCCGGATTGCACCGTGCCTCCAACAGCAGCTTCAACATCTCACAGCGTCCTTTTGCTGCAGCGAACTCCACTGCACTGCTGCCACACTTGTTGACTATCCTGGGGTCGCATCTGACCTCCAGCAGCAACTCCAAGGTATCAATGCTTTCGCCCTGTGCAGCGCTGATGATTGGGGTGTTGCCAGCCTTGTTAGTAGCGGTTGGATCGCACCTTGCCTCCAGCAGCAACTTCAGCACACTGACGTCTCTGCTTTTTGCGGCGAACATGACTGCACTGCTTCCGTTGTTGCTTGCGATCTTGGGGTCGCACCTGGCCTTCAACAGCAACTCTAGTGCATCAACATGTCCACCGCCTGCTGCTCCCATCACTGGAGTGAAACCATCCTTGTTGGCAATCCCCGGATTGCACCGTGCCTCCAACAGCAGCTTCAACATGTCACAGCGTCCTTTTGCTGCAGCGAACTCCACTGCACTGCTGCCACACTTGTTGACTATCCTGGGGTCGCATCTGACCTCCAGCAGCAACTCCAAGGCATCAATGCTTTCGCCCGCCTGTGCAGCGCTGATGATTGGGGTGTTGCCATCCTTGTCAGTAGCGGTTGGATCGCACCTTGCCTCCAGCAGCAGCTTCAGCACACTGACGTCTCTGCTTTCTGCGGCGAACATGACTGCACTGCTTCCGTTGTTGCTTGCGATCTTGGGGTCGCAACTGGCCTTCAACAGCAACTCTAGTGCATCAACATGTCCATATCGTGCTGCTCCCATCACTGGAGTGAAACCATCCTTGTCGGCAATCTCCGGATTGCACCGTGCCTCCAACAGCAGCTTCAACGCACCAACCCTTCCCGTCCACACCGCTCTCAAGGCTGGAGTGACACCACCCTTGGTGGCGATCTTCGGGTCGCATCTCGCTTCCAAGAGGGCCTGCAGCGAATCGGTCATCTGCAGCCCTGCTGCCATTAGGATCAAGGGCTCACCGTCCCTGCCGGCAGTTTGCGGGTCACACCTGGCCTCGAGCAACATCGGCAGCAAACTTGCGTGCCCATGTTGTGTAGCGGCACTTATTGCACTCGTGCCGCGTCGGTTACGTGCCTCTGCATCGCACCGCGCCTGCAGCAAGAACTGCAAAGCGGCACTGTGACCTCGCCCTGAAGCCAGCAAAGCCGCATTGCTGCCATCCTCGTCCGTTGCGCTGAAATCTGCGCCAAGCTTCTGAAGCGCCCTCAGCACATCGACCTTTCCGGCTCTCGCTGCAAGATGAAAAACAATTCCCGACCGGGTCTCAGCTGTGTGAACATCGACTCCCTGGGCATGTAACATTTCGACATGCCCAGCAAGTACAGCTTCATGGAGCAGCAACCTGTCCCTGTCTGAGCCCTCCTCGTCGTAGGCTCTCCAGAACTCCTGCACCAAATGCTCGGCACCGAGGCTCACAGCCAAATGCAGCCGGCTGTCCCCAAACACCGCACGTGTTGGGAACAGGCACACGCATCGAGTTCGCAACAAGGCTTGGTAGATCAAAACCCCGAGCATAGCCAAGAGGTGCATCGTCAGGCCCACGCCCATCAAAATTTCCAGGATGGGCTCCGTGGCCAAGGGACAAGCATGCTGGGTCACAGCTCCCGACTTGTGTGGAACCATGATGCTGAAAAAGATAATCAGATTGCTGCGCCAGAGCGCTGTGCACAATTGCAGGCGTAGCTGGGCACAGAGATCTGCGGGGAAGCAGGGCCAGGGCATTCCGCACGTGCAAAGACCAAGGAAAACTAAGACAGGGGGCTCGTCGCTGGTGCGTTCATTCTCCCGGAAGGAAGCTTTTAAGCACCTCTTTGAATAGAGTGCACATGCCGCCATCTCACATAAGAAAAGAAGGGGTATGAATAGTCGCGCCTCAGCATCCAAAACCAAGCATGGGACAATCCAAAAGATCACCCGCGATGCCACGTCTCCAGTACGCCAGAGCAACAAAGATTTTCCCGGCAGCAGAGGCTCCACATTGTGGGCAGTGTCGAGCTCATCATGCTCGCGCAGAAACATAAACATAGCCGGGACATGGCGGAGGCACAAGAAGGCAGAGTTGATGCCTGCAGCTGCGGACAGCAACTGGAGCACGAAGGCCATCCAGAAGAGGAGTGGGTTTGTCTCAGGCAGAGCATTGAAAGCCAGGACCCCGAGCTGAATGACGCTGGAAGGGACTGCCCCAAAGAGACCAGCAATCAGGTAGGCTTCTATGAGACCCTGGGGGCGGTCCACGGCACTTGTGGGAATGAGTGTCACGACGAAGCTTACCGCCGATGACAGTTTGAAAACTGTCAGCAAACCTCCGAACCACCAAATCCCACCTGAAAAGTAGACTGCTGTCACGTAGATGCCGGATATCAGGTCCGCCAGCCGCAAAGTGCAAGCTTCGGTCTCGGACAACCCCAGAATCGTCTCGTCCCACTGCAACTTGCTCTCAGAACCTTCTTCTGAATACAATGAGTACACAACGTTCCTCCAGCGGAGAAGGCGGGAAGGTGCCAAGGTGAGCAGCGAAATGCCAAGGACCAACCGGAGCCACGGCCAGTGTTGCGGATGCGTGATCCATCGCAAGCTCTGTGCGTAGAGCCATTGGAAAAATCCGGGTGCCGCAGCCGCGTGCGTCTGCAGTTCCTCGGCTCAGGACCAGGAGGTCAAATCGCCAGACCCCATGAAAGTGCTGCACACCACATCCCTGCACTACTTGCAAGGCATGCATCGGCGACCAGGCAAGGCTTCACACGATCCCACGTCCTCTCGACTGCCTGGAGGCCGAGGACGTCGACGGCTGCCTCAGCTTCCTTGCGGCGGAGCATCCGGCCTGACTTCAGGGTTTCCTACGCCAGTGGACATGAGGGAGGCAGCAACCGAACTCAAAACATCCAGCCTTGCATCGGGGATGAAGCAAACGGAGACCATCCCGGGAGGATGGAGGCCGAGCATAAGGCAACAAGTGGCAGGAAGATCGCCCATGGGCGACTGCGTAGCCTGCAAGTTGTCGGGTCGGCCGCCCGGGGCGGCAGAGAGCGAGACATGAGCAAAGCTGCGGTGCAATCGTGTCGCAACTGCCTCAACATCTGCAGAGTGAGGCATGCAGCTTTACAATCCTGCATGCTGGCTATCCTGAACTGTGGCCGCTACCCTCGCATCATGCGTGATGTCCGGCTGGATCTGAGGTGGCGGCTACCATGCGGCCAGGAGCATCGGCCTTGCAACTTGCAACTTCGACAGGGGCCTAAACCCTAAACGCCCGAAACCTGAAGTTGATGTGATAAGTCCTGCGTTATGTTAGTGACCCTAGAATATGGGGGGATGTGTAACATCAACCCTGGGTCTCCTGAGCCAGCTCTAGCGCAACTGCCCAAAGTATACCAGGTTCAAGATCCTCAAGACAGTACTTGGAAGGGCAGGGGACTTAGTAAGTAGGTTATAAGTAGAGTTATAAGTACCCTAAATGGAGTTACCCCAATTATAACCCTACTTCTAACCTACTTACTAAGTCCCCTGCCCTTCCAAGTAGATCTACCCAGAGACTCGAATACCCCTGTAAGTGCAAGGGCCCCAAAACGCCCTAGAGGTCCTACAACCTCGAGCCCCTTCCAAATTGAGGATGGGCAACAGCGTAACATATGCGTGAACCATCATGAACCATGTCTTAAAGCCAGGAGACCCCTATTTGCCTTAATTAAGGAATATATACCTTCAAGTATGGTAGGATCAATAATATGATTTAAGGAATATTCCTCGGTTAAGGGTATTGATTGGAGTCTCTGGGCACTGTAGACAGTACTTAAAGGATCATGATACTAGCTTACAGGGTTCCGTTAAGGGGGTTCCAAACTGGAAGAGGGCTCCATAAGGATGCTTACACGGAGTATACAAGTGTTCCCAAACAACCATTGATATAGGGGGCTTACTAGAAGGAACAAGGCGAAGCCCAAGCTCGCCGGTGCACACCATTAGGGCTTAGGGCTTCGGCAACTTGTAGGAATGGTCGGCTGACCGACGTGAAGCAAAGCGAGATGGTTTTTGTTTTAAAGTGCAATGGCCACTTTTCGAGTTAAGGTTTAGGATTTAGGGTTTAGGGTTTTAGGCCCGGGTGCATCCATGCATGCTCAGATGTGCCAACAGACCCGCAAAAAACTGCGCGAAGCCAGGAACTCTAAAAGACACGGGGCTGTCAAGAGAACCCAAAGTCCCGGTGCGGAAAGCAAGCCTGAAAAAGATGGGAGCTGGACTGCAAGTCGAGATGCTTGCCGTAGCCATCGAAAGATGCCTGGGTCTCTGCCAAGCTACAACATCACCCCTAAAGGCCCAAATCCATATGCACCTGCACCTAAAGAGATCCAGAGTAGACCCTGCGTAACAAGAACGATGGCGCATCTTCATGGAGGCATCAGAGGAGCTGCGCAGTAGTACGACTGCATGCTTTTTGTCACAGGCACATCTTCCCCTGTGAGGCTTTGCTTAGTGACTCGTGTCTGTCAGGGCTTATGACTGCAGACATTTAGAGCAAAGGGACTTGAATTCCAGAGAGCAAGCAAAGGAAATGAGACATTGTGGCGAACAAACGCAGGTTAGATCAATACCTCGGCCTCAGATAGTCATCGTCGCTGTCAGAATCCGGGATTCTGACTCCGACAAACACGGTCTGCAACTCGTCAAACGTGTAGCCTGCCCTTCGCAGCTTCCTGACATCGTAGCCAGCTTCCTCACACTCCGCAGCAGTGAAGCCTGCTGCCCGGCACTCGGAAGCCGTGCAGCCTGCCTCCTTGCAGGTGCTCACGGACATGCCGAGGTCCCTCAAGACGTCCCTCTTGAAGCCTACCTGGATGTATCCCCTTGCGGTAAAGCCAGCTTCCCTGCATCGTTCCAGGGAGTAGCCGGCCTCCTGCCAGCCGTCGGCTGGGAATCCCGCCTGGAGGCACTCTGCCACCTCATAGCCCGCTTTCAGGCAAGCCGTGCACGAAAAGCCCGCTAGTCTGCAGACGCTGGCTGGATAGCCATCCTGTCGAACTTCACGAAGCCTGCGAGGAACCTCATCCCCGGCCTCGTCGCTGTCCAAGCTCGAGAGCGCCCGACTAAGTTGGGTGAGATTGCCCGGCAAGCGAAGTTGGAGATAGGCACCACAGATGGCATCCCTCACCGAGTCCCCTGGATCAGCGACGAGGAGGTTGAAGTTGAGGCTTTGCCCACTCTTCTTTGCTGCCTTGCGTCTGTTTTCGTGGATCCCTTTCGATGTTCATTTTAAGGGGTGTGCTTTAAGGTTTCCTGGAAGGGCTTCTATACGGTCATTTGTCAGTAAACATAGCTTCCTGCCTTGCGTATGGTGGCTTTCTGACCCACAAGCGTCTCCTTTATCCATCGGTCGCGCTCCCGCCAAATCTCTATGTACAGGTCCCTGCCTCTTAGGACATTCAAGGCAAGAAGCACCTTGGTGCTCTTTTCGGTTAGGGTGCAGGGTTTTGGGTTTCGAATGCCAAGGCTTAGGGTTTAGCTGAGGGGCGCAACCCTAAAGCCTGAACACTATAATGTAGTTGGAGGACCCTCAGACCTCCTAGGAAACCCAACCCGAACCCAAAACCCTGGCCCCTAAACCCTAAATCCTAAAACCTAAACTCTCTAAACCCTAAACCCGAAACCCTGAAACCTGCAAAGAACACAGGGAGGGGGCGCTTCTTCGGCGATTCCATGCAGGGTCGGGAACAGCTGCCTCTGAAGGTCCTCAAACTTCTGCCTCGACGTTCCCGGCACCTCCTGGGGGTTTTGGGGATCCTTTAAGGGCTCCTTTAAGGGTTCTATTCGGGATCTAGAAGGTTACTCTGAGGTTTAGGGTTTTTAAGGTGTTAAAATTTTAAGTTGTAATTTGTAAAGTTTAGGGTTTTAAGGTTTAGGGTCTTGGGGTTTACGGCTTAGGGGCTTCTTAGCATTGTTGGAGCGCTTTGGGCTCTAGGGTCCAAGCAGGGTTTAGAGTTCAATTTCGGGCGAAGCGGGGCCCTGTTTTGCAGCAATCCTTCTATTCTCACTGCAGCTTAATTTTAGCTCGTGCTTCGCATGCTACAGCATTTCTGAAGCCTCTACGTTACGGTTCTATATTCAGGTTCTATAGCCAGTTTCTACCTTAAGGTTCTATGTGCAGGTCCTATCTTACGGCCCCTGCCCGTATTAGGGTTCCACCTTAAACGGCTTCCGTAAAGGAAAGCTCCTTAAACCCTTAGGTCCAAACAACACCTGAAGCCCAAGCCGTAACGCAACAAACTAAACTCGAAGCTCCAAACCAAAAATTAAAGGACCGGATAACCCCACATGTGAAGATCATCCATTCATATAGAACACAAAAGCGCAGAAGAGTAAATGAGTGAGGGAGTAAATGAGTGTGTGAGTGAACGAATGAGTGAGTGCTGCTGTGAGTGCGTACGTGGGTGTAGGGTGTATGATGTGTGCATGTGTGGTATGCGAGTGTAGAGAGAGAGTGTGTGTGTGTGTGTGAGTGTGTGTGAGTGTGTGTGTGTGTGGGTGTGTGAGTGTGAGTGTGTGAGTGTGTGAGTGTGTGAGTGTGTGAGTGTGTGAGTGTGTGAGTGTGTGAGTGTGTGAGTGTGTGAGTCTGGGTGTCTGAGTGTCTGTGTGTCTGTGTGTCTGTGTGTCTGTGTGTCTGTGTGTCTGGGTGTCTGGGTGTCTGCGTGTCTGTGTGTCTGTGTGTCTGTGTGTGTCTGTGTGTCTGTGTGTCTGTGTCTGTGTCTGTGTGTCTGTGTGTCTGTGTCTGTGTGTCTGTGTGTCTGTGTCTGTGTCTGTCTGTGTGTCTGTGTGTGTCTGTGTGTGTCTGTCTGTGTCTGTGTGTGTCTGTGTGTGTCTGTGTGTGTGTGTGTGTCTCTGTGTGTCTGTGTGTGTCCTCTGTGTGTCTCTGTGTGTCTGTGTCCTGTGTGTGTGTGTCTGTGTGTGTCCTGTGTGTGTCCTGTGTGTGTCTGTGTGTGTGTCTGTGTGTGTCTGTGTGTGTCGGTGTGTCGTGTCGGTGTGTGTGTCTGTGTGTGTCGGTGTGTGTCTGTGTGTGTCTGTGTGTGTCTGTGTGTGTGTGTGTGTGTCTGTGTGTGTCTGTGTGTGTCTGTGTGTGTCTGTCGTCTGCGTGCCTGTGGCCAGAGCAGGCCGGGGAGGGGATTTAGTCGCGGAAGAGTCTCGCCCCCAGCGCGCGCGCGGCTTCCGCCAGAGCAGCCCACAGAGGGGATTTAGTCGCGGAAGAGTCTCGCCCCCAGGGCGCGCGCGGCCTCGTTCAGAGCAGGCCGGGGAGGCAGCCCACAGAGGGGATTTAGTCGCGGAAGAGTCTCGCCCCCAGGGCGCGCGCGGCCTCGTTCAGAGCAGGCCGGGGAGGGGATTTAGTCGCGGAAGAGTCTCGCCCCCAGCGCGCGCGCGGCCTCGGCCAGAGCAGGCCGGGGAGGAGATTTAGTCGCGGAAGAGTCTCGCCCCCAGGGCGCGCGCGGCCTCCGCCAGAGCAGGCCCGGGAGGGGATTTAGTCGCGGAAGAGTCTCGCCCCCAGCGCGCGCGCGGCTTCCGCCAGAGCAGGCCGGAGAGGGGATTTAGTCGCGGAAGAGTCTCGCCCCCAGCGCGCGCGGCTTCCGCCAAGCAGGCCGGGGAGGGGATTTAGTCGCGGAAGAGTCTCGCCCCCAGGGCGCGCGCGGCCTCGGCCAGAGCAGGCCGGGAGGGTCTTTAGTCGCGGAAAATTCTCGCCCCCAGGGCACGCGCGGCCTCGGCCAGAGCAGGCCGGGAGGGTCTTTAGTCGCGCAAGAGTCTCGCCCCCAGGGTGCGCGCGGCCTCGGCCGGAGCAGGCCGGGAGGGTCATTGGTCGCGGAAGGGCGCGCGCGGCCTCGGCCCGAGCAGGCCCGGGAGGGTCATTAGTCGCGGAAGAGTCTCGCCCCCAGGGCGCGCGCGGCCTCGGCCAGAGCAGGCCCGGAGGGTCTTTAGTCGCGGAAGAGTCTCGCCCCCAGGGTGCGCGCGGCCTCGGCCAGAGCAGGCCGGGAGGGTCATTAGTCGCGGAAGAGTCTCGCCCCCAGGGCGCGCGCGGCCTCGGCCAGAGCAGGCCGGGAGGGTCTTTAGTCGCGGAAGAGTCTCGCCCCCAGTGCGCGCGCGGCCTCGGCCAGAGCAGGCCGGGAGGGTCTTTAGTCGCGGAAGAGTCTCGCCCCCAGTGCGCGCGCGGCCTCGGCCAGAGCAGGCCGGGAGGGTCTTTAGTCGCGGAAGAGTCTCGCCCCCAGTGCGCGCGCGGCCTCGGCCAGAGCAGGCCGAGAGGGTCTTTAGTCGCGGAAGAGTCTCGCCCCATGCGTGTTGTGTGTGTGTGTATGAAGTCAAGAGGGAGGCGGAGGAGGAGAGGAGGAGGAGGAGGAGAAGGAGGCGGAGGCGGAGGCGGAGGCGGAGGAGGAGGCGGGACAGCCCCAAAAAGTAAGAACCCCACACAGTGATGTGGGGAAAAAACAAACAAAAGCTTACCCTAAAGCCAAATTTTTCGACAAACCTGAAAACAAACTTCCAAACCCCACCGCTCAGAACCCGAAGAACCCTGAAGAAAACGGCGAACTCCTGCGCGCATCTCAGCAGGCCCTCGTCGGAGCAAACGAGCAGGGCCAGGTGCTTTCCTGGGTTCTTGCTTAGGAACATTCAAGTTGCCTAGTAAGGAACCCTACTCAAAAACCTAAACCCTACGCAAATCCTAAATGCTAAACCGACCTGTTTGAAATAAATCCCTTTCGTTGTAGCTTAAACTACCTCCTTGTCCAGCACCCCAAAAAGAACTAGATTCAAGGTTGCACACAGGGATTGTAGCACCCCAAGGTTACCTACTCTACTCCTGAAACTTGACTTTCTTGACAAGGGTCCAGCTTATTTCCGATAGCTCCCTACCCTAAACCCTACACCTTATTATTTGCGACGGCTGCCTTTTTGTAAACCACATTGACCCAGAGTAGAGTCCCTCAGGAGCTTCATAAAAACTACCCTGCAGTAGTACAGAAAAGGGTCCCAAATTAGGGGATCTACTCTTCGGATCCTTCCTGCAGTCTGGGAAGTTCCCAAAACCCAAAACCCTAAAGCCTGAACCCTAAACCCTAAACCCACACCCTAGACCCTGAACCCTAAACCTGAACCCTGAACCCTAAACCGCAAACTCGAAACCCTCAACCCTAAACTCTAAACCCTCAACCCTAAACTCTAAACCCTCAACCCTAAACGGCGGGGTGTTTTTTTTCCGACCCTTTTTTTCCGAGGTGCGGCCAACCCTTTTTTCAAGGTTGGACACGCAGGATCCCTGTAGAGGGTTCATCGGGGATGCACAGAATGGAGACCACGGGACCAGAGGACCAGCAGACCAGAGGACCAGGAGACCACAGGACCAAGGACCAGAGGACTTGGGGACCGCATGCACCAGGGACCCTTGGCCGCACCTCGTAAACAAGGGTTGGCCGCACCTTGGCAAAAAAAAAAAAAACATGGCCCACCCTAAACTCTAAACCCTCAACCCTAAACTCTAAACCCTCAACCCTAAACTCTAAACCCTCAACCCTAAACTCTAAACCCTCAACCCTAAACCCTCAATGCCCAGCTTCTCACCTGCCGGCTCTTTGAGTTGAAGATCCTGGGGTTGAGGGCTTTAGGCTTTAGTTTAGGGCTTTGGGCTTTAGGGTTCCTTGAAGGATCTATAAGGGTACTATAGGGTTTAGGGCTTTCGGGTTTAGTTTAGGGTTTAGGGCTTAAGGCTTTCGGGTTTTGTTTAGTGTTCAGGGTTTAAGGCCTTAGGGTTTAGTTTCAGGCTTGGGGTTTTAGGATTTAGTTCAAGGTTTAGGGCTTTAGAGGTTCAGGGTTTGAGGGTGGCTTTAAAGTTCAGAGTTGAGGGCTTAAGGTTTAAACCCTAAACCCTAACCCTTAAGACCCTTGAAGAGCTTTAGGGCTTGAGGCTTGGAGGGCTCTGCGGGCTCCTTGTAACGGGCTCCTTTAAGGGTTCGTTTAAGGGGTACCTCAAAGCTGTCTTTCAAGGATCCTTTAAGGGATCCTTTAGGGGCTCCATAGAGGATTCCTTTAAAGGTTCCTTTCAGGGTTCCTTTAAGGGGTCCCTTAAAGTGGTCCTTCAGGGGGGTCCGTCCTTCGAGGGGGTGAGGGCCCTGAGAAGGGCTTTCAGGGCACTTGCAAAAGGTTCCCTTACGGGCTCTCCAAGGGGTTCTGTATGGGCTCCGGGAGTTTATAGGCTTTCGTTTAGGGTTTAGGGCATTAGGGTTCCTGCAAGGGATCTATAAGGGATCTATAAGGTTACTATAGGGTTTAGTTTGGTCGGATAAAGATTGTATGGGGTCTGTGCTCGGGCTGCTGTATGATTTATTATGACATTTTGTCCGGGTGTTTTTAACAGCTCTGTATGATACTATAAGGGTTTGCGATGGGTTTGAAAAGGGCTATGTATAAGTGGCTTTCTAGGATTTGGACAAGGACTTACGAGGGCTCGCTGAAGGCTTCCCGGGTCTGAAAAGACCTAGTTTGAACTACCGAAAGAAGGAAAGTCCGTGGTTCACTGCATGTCTCGATTATGGCGCCTTCAAAGAAGCTCCTAAACAAGAACTAATAGAATATGAGGTTTACGGGTTTGGGGTCGGAATCTGTCGCAAATAATGGCGACTTAAAATGAGTTCCTAAAGAATCTAAAGAAGAACCCACGGTCAGAGACTACCCTAAACTCTAAATAAGTCCCAGGGTCAGAGACTGGCCGACGGGAATCAGAAGGCCTTTGCAGAGGCTGATGATGGCAGAGACCCAGGCGAAGTCCGACCCGGTCTTCAGGCCCACCTTACGTGTAGTAAGTAGGGTTCCTGGAAGGGTTCCTTTAGGGAATCTATAGGGGTACGAAAAAGGTTAGGGTTCAGGGCCCTTCGGGTTTGGGGTTTAGAGCTTACTTAAAGGATGATAGGACTTCGTAACTACCGTCATTTCTGGGGTAACTCTACGTATAGTTCCTTATATAACTTTACTTACTAAGGGGTTTAGGGACAGTAGTCACTCTTTCGTGACTTCTAGAGTCCTTGTATGCCTTCCTCCACCTGAATCACTACGCCCTAAAGACCCCGAAACCCACTCTTCCTTAAGCAACAGCAAGCCACAAAGACGCCGACGAAACCCTGCGGCCAATCCTCCGCCCAAGCAATGAAGAGCCTTGCGTGGGACAAGAACTCCACGGCAAAGTTCGACATGGTGACCTCAAACCTTACTTGTGGTTAGTAGGGAATGGAGGAATGGGGTACAATTATAGCTAAGACTACTACTACTACTACTACTACTACTAAACCCTAAACCCTAACCCTAAAGCCTAAACCCTAAAACCCTAAACCCTAAACCCTAAACCCTAAAGCCTAAACCCTAAAACCCTAAACCCTAAAACCCTAAACCCTAAACCCTAAAACCCTAAACCGCCATTCTTCCATTCCCTACTAAGCAAAGGTCAGAAACATCTCCAGGTAGGTTGCAGCTCCCGATCTGAAGGCTGCCTTTCAAAGGCGAACAGGAGGGACCCTTAATGGGGACCCCTAGCCTATAATGGGCTATATAATGGGCTATATAATGGGCTATATAATGGGTATATAATGGCTATATTATGGGTATATGATGGCTATATGATGGGTATATAATGGCTATATAATGGGTATCTAATAGCTATATTAAGGGTACATACTTCCTTTCACCCTTGGAGCCTTGGGTAGTGCCAGAATGCCCATGTAAGTGTTGCGCAAGTCGGCGGCGGCCTCCGTCTTGTACCATGACGCGACGATGTAAGCGAAGATGATGACGTAGATCGAAGCGACACATAGGCAACTTCCATCTGCCCAAATGTCTAGCCCGGCCCACAGCACGTGGTAGCTGCTGTGGAACGAATTCGCCCAGAAGGGACGAAGAATTGGTACCACGGCATCAACCGCAAGGAAAACACCAGAAAAGGTTGCAGACAAAATGAAGACATAGTAAATAGGGCTAAGCTTCTCGCCCTTCCAAGCCAGCAATCCATACACCACCCCTATCGCCACAATCGGGGCGGACACAAAGAGGAGCAGTGGAACGAACACTGCAGCGCTCGCCGCAGGAACCACCACCTGCACGAGCAAGAGTGGCGGCCACACGGGCAACCACATGCAGCGATGCCTCATGAACCATTTGTTCAGGAGCCTTGAGAGACAGAAGTCTGCTGCCGCAAATGCGGCACCCCAAAAGAAACCTCCGACAGCAGGGTTTAGGCTTTCGGGTTTATTAGGGTTTGGGGTTTATCAGGGCTTTGGGCTTGGGGTTTAGGGTTTTGCGGCACCCAAAAGAAACCTCCCACAGTGGCAGGCGCCAACAGGCACTGACCTGCCACGACCCAGTCCTTGATGGGTTTAGGATTTAGGGATTGGGGTTTAGGGTTTAGGGTTTAGGGATTAGGGCTTAGGGATTAGGGTTTAGTGTTTAGGGTTCAGGGAGTTGGGTTTAGGGTCCTTGACGGTGTCAAAGACCTCGCTGACAATGGGCATAGTGAACCTGGGCTCTCCAGCATCCCCTCAATAATCCGAAACGCAGCTTGTTACTTTTCCAGTTCAACCGAGGATATCCCGAAAGTACACAGGGCAAAAGAGTACCACTAGAAAGCCCAGAAGCCTCAAACCCCAAACTCTAGCATCCTTATCAAAAGATACGTACCCTCAGAGGACCTAGGAACATCAGCACGGTCTTTGCCGTCTTAACGGTTGGTGCCGGGCCATCTGCGGAGCAGCAACGCATGAGATTTTGACAAAAGAGCGTCCTGAGCCAGTTTAGCATGCAGGATACACAGGGCTTACAAGGGTTTAGGATGTAGCATTTAGGGCTGAGCGGGTGTCGCATGACTGATTTATGTGCATGAGTTGTCCACGTTCGTACCAACATCGTAATCGTGCGCATGTAGACATACACATATTCATATGTATGTATATAACTATCTGCAAACAGAGCAGAAATATGCAAACAAACATTCATAAACCAGACAACGTTATAGGTATGTATATATACTACATACATACACATGGATGATGCTGTGTCATCAACAATCCTTGATTTACACGTACGTGCGTATGTACGTACGTACGTATGTATGTAACTGTATGTAACTGCGGTATGTACGTATGTATGCATGCATGCATGGATGCATGTATGCATGTATATGTATGTTTTTTCGTACTTGGTTGCTTACCTACCTAGTCATGCAAGTATCTGCCTATCTACCTATCTGCCTATCTATCTGTTTATGTGTCTGTCGATTTACATATCTATCTACCTGTCTAGTCTGTCTATGTACGTATGTACATATCCATGTACCTACGCACCCTTAACCCCCGGTACGACTTGTGATGCCGAGACTCCACAAGCAAACCTGCTGCCACAGAGTCCACAACTCCTCGCACTGGGTATTAGGTGTTCTTTGTTGAATGCCTTTTTTGTGTTTCAATGGGTTTTGGCCGTAGGGTTAAATAAGCCCAAAATCGGTAAAGCTTACCTTCTCAGCTACTACTTGGGTCTCCGGGGTTGGTGATCTAGGTTTACGGTTTAGGCTTTAGGGTTTAGGGTAGCAGGTTTGGGGTTTGCGACTTTGGGGGCGCGGGTTTAGGGTTGGACCAGTAGGGTATATGCTTTGCAGAGACTTTAGGGTCGGGGTTTAGCGTCAGCCCCTACAAGAACAACCATAACCCAGGGTCTTTTTTAACTTTTTCATGCCTGAGGGTTTGGGTTTAGGAACCCAAAATAAACGACGAACGACCTAGAAAGCACCCGAAAGTCGAAAGAATTACATCACGACAGAGCCCAGGCTCCCATGCCAGTCCGCTGCCAAGCGACAACCAGTCATTCCGCAACGCTACGAGTACCAAAGACGCACAACCAGAATGGTAGAGGGCAAGTGCCACCCACAATCGGATGGCTGCACAGAACTCTGAAGACATGTACCCGTCCGCACCATCGTCTTTAGCGGTGTTGGCTTCACGCTGAGAGTGCCTGTTGCTCTGTTCATGGTCGTCTTTTTCGTCTGCGTCAGGATCTTGAGTGGACATCTGAACCTTACTTGGAGGGGCAGGGGACATAGGAAGGGCTCCCCTGCCCTTCCAAGTAGATGCCAGGTTCATAAGGGCCAAAGAGTTTAGACTATCAGTTCCATATTGGCGGTGATATTATCCCCAACAGTGTAAAGTATACTCATGAAGCTACAAAGGAACGTACTCTGGCGACGGCTGCGACGACATTGCGGAGATTGCTTTGGCAACCATCAGGCGCACTGCGAACGCGATCCTGGGTGTTGGATAAAGCTGCTGGGATCGGTTCATGCAGTACATATAGCTTGTTAGGTTCTATACAGTCTACGCTATATGCTGTACTCTACATATCACATGAGATTGATTTGTGATGTCTTATATAGTCGACAGTACACAATATTCTGTAATTGTTTGAAACTTCGACTTCCTAAACATACTAATACGAATACTCATACTCATGCTAATGCTAATACTAACAGTAAGAATGCAAAAAGTCAAAAAAATACTAGTGATGGTAAGAATAACAATTTAGCCTTGCTCTAGGGCTGAAATGATGACTGGGAACATGCGGACCGCCTGGCACAAGATGCACATCACCGGAGGGCCCAGCAGTAGAACAGCCACCCAGTATTTCCTGGGCTTTTCTTAGAGGCCCTAAACCCTCAACCCTGAGCATTGGGTTCTTCTTAGAAACCTTGAGTTAAGCTACCATACCAGGGATCTATAGAAAAAACTGTATGTCCTGGCTTCTTCTAAGGCCGCCCCTAGAAACCTTGAGTTGAGCTACCATAAAAGGAATCTATACAAAAATCTGTATTTCCTGGGTTCTTCTTAGAAACCTCGAGTGAAGCTACCATAAAGGTTCTTGTTAGAAACTTTGAGTTGAGCTACCATAAAAAGGGATCTATAGAAAAATAGTATTTCCTGGGCTCTTCTTAGAAACCTCGAGTGAAGCTACCATAAAGGTTCCTCTTAGAAACCTTGAGTTAAGCTACCATAAACGGGATCTATAGAAAAATTCGTATTTCCTGGATTCTTCTTAGAAACCTTGAGTGAAGCTACCATAAAGGTTCTTCTTAGAAACCTTGAGTTCAGCTACCATAAACGGGCTCTATAGCAAAACATGGAGTGATGGTAACTTCAAACTGAATTCCTTCAGAAGAACCCATGGTAACTTGAAGCCCTTAACAAGAGCCCAGTTTCTGACGCACCTGTGACTCCTCCAGTGTTACTTCAGACATCGCGGGGAGGATGCGGCTGGGTGGTTCTGCCCAGAAGCCGGGCCAGTCAGGCAAGTCTTTTGACAGCCTGTAGGGCACCAATAAAGCGCATAAGAGGATAGGTATTTACATATATATATATATATATATATATATATATATATATTTATATATATTTATATATTTATATTTATCTATTTGTATATATATATATATATATATATATATATATATATTATATATATTATATACAGTATATATATATATATATATGCATACATATATATATATATATATATATACCCCATATAATGAAGCCCATTAAGGTAGGGATATCCCTATTAAGATGCTGATGCTTATGTCTTTTGGGGGGCCCCAAGGCCTGATTTTTCCCCAAAGCCACCGCACAGCAAAGCACGTCAAACTCCACACACTGGGGACATGGGGCAACATGGCGCGCTGCCACACAGACCCTATCGCCACACGTCACATGGAACTAAAAATGGCGGTCTTGAAAACGGCCTGCGGAAACAAAGCCAATGAAATATCATCATCTGAGGCTTCTGTGAGTGTTGAACGCGCAGAAACCTGTCAACAGAGAGACCTCGCAACAGCCACTGCCTAGATACCTAGAGAGCCCAATATTCCCAAATTAAGGAATCTGCCATACCTTACGATGGGCCCAAGACCATTAACCAAGGTATACTCCCGAGTTAGGGGGTGCTGGACTCTCTAGATGCCTATAACACGAATATGGGTGGTTGTCAAAATTTGGGTCCCTTTTTGGGTACCCTAAATATTAGGTGCCGTATTCTATTAGGGACCTAAAAAGGGACCATAATTTCAACAAACACCCATATGTGTGGAAGAAGAAATGTGGCCGCACGTACTAGGATCTACAGTAGAAGCCAGAAAGTTGGAATATCATTATCGTAACCCCTTTAAGGTAAATTATACGGGATCCTACCATTAATCCATATTCCGACTTTCTGGAGTTCCCTTTAGGGCTTGGGTTTCCCCTAAACCCTAAACCCTAAACCCTAAACCCTAAACCCTAAACCCCAAACCCTAAACCCTAAACCCTAAACCCTAAACATATTTACCTATGTATATTTAAACCCTAATGACCAAAAAGTCGTTGATCATAACTCGTGGCGGGTTGCTCAAAACTCGTGGCGGGTTGCTCAAAACTCGTGGCGAGTTGATCAAAACTCGTGGCGAGTTGATGCCCGCCGGGTTTAGCCCCCACGGTTTAGGCCTCGGGTTTAGAGCCTTACGGTCTAGGCCGCTCTAGGTTTTAGGGCTCACGGTTTAGAGCTCCCTCGGGTTTAGGGCTCTACGGTTTAGGGCCCCTCGGGTTTAGGGCTCACGGTTTAGGGCTCCCTCGGGTTTAGGGTCTACGGTTTAGGGCCCTCGGGTTTAGGGCTCTACGGTTTAGGGCCCCTCGAATTTAGGGCTCACGGTTTAGGGCTCCCTCGGGTTTAGGGTTCTACGGTTTAGGGCCCCTCGGGTTTAGGGCTCGCGGTTTAGGGCTCCCTCGGGTTTAGGGCTCACGGTTTAGGGCTCGCTCGGGTTTAGGGCTTTACGGTTTAGGGCCCCTCGGGTTTAGGGCTCTACGGTTTAGGGCCCCCTCGGGTTTAGGGTCTACGGTTTAGGGCCCTCGGGTTTAGGGCTCTACGGTTTAGGGCTCCCTCGGGTTTAGGGCTCACGGTTTAGGGCTCCCTCGGGTTTAGGGCTCTACGGTTTAGGGCCCCTCGCGTTTACGGCTCTACGGTTTAGGGTATTCGGGTTTAGCGAGGAAAGCCAAGAGTATGAGCGTCGCTTATTGGGGGGTAGTCACGACAAGCAGTCCGAGGAAAGCCAAGAGCATGAGCGTCGCTTACTGGGGGGTAGTCACGACAAGCACTCCGATTGAAACAAGTATAGCCTATCTTGTTATTGCAGTAAGCTTGGATTGCGAATCGACGATGTCTGTTGTGTAGTTTCTGTTTGATATATGCGGTATGGCCTGCCAAGCATAGCGTCTACATGTAGGTACAGCTGAGCGAATAGACGATGTCTGTTGTGTAGTTTCTGTCTGAAATATGCGACATGTTCTGCAAAGCCTTGGCGTGTACATGTAGCAACAACTTCCAAGCAATAGCTAAATCACTACCCCTGACCGCCACTACATGGATATCCAAAGCATGTCTGTTGTGTAGTTTCTGTCTGAAGTTTATGACAGGTCCTACCAGGCAATAACGTCAATGGTGAAGTCACTAGTGTGTTTATTTTCGCGAACAGTTGAAAATATGATAGATTCTTTGAGTCGTATGTAAGTTAGTATTTAATAATTCAAACCAAAAGAAATATAACTATAATTCTAATGTGAGGGGATTCTCTGGGCGGGTGGGGTTTCTTCTTGAAGATAGCTTGACTAGAAATAGCTTGACTTGAAATTTTCAAAGCCAGAGCTGCTGAACCCTAAACCCCAAACCCCAAACCCTAAACCCTAAACCCTAAACCCTAAACCCTAAACCCTAAACCCTAAACCCCTAAACCCCTAAACCAACTGCTGGATTGCTGGCCCTGCACGAGACGGAGGGTCTCCTGGCTCCCGGCAAACACGCAAACCTCGGTCTGACAAGAAATCGAGCAACGGTTGATGACATAAATCCTAGGCTTCCTTTAAAGGGACCTTTAAGGGGTTCCTTTAAGGGGCTCCTTTAAGGGATCTATAGGGGGTTTAGGGTTTAGGGATATCGAGCAACGGTTGATCTAAATCCTAAGGGCTCCTTTAAAGGGATCTATAAGGGTACCTTTAAGGGGGTCTATAGGGTTTAGGGTTTAGGGTGATGATATAAATCCTGCATGACCCATAAGAAGGAATACACCATAATTCCCATAGTTTAGGGTCCTTAAGGTAATGCAGGATTTATATCATCAACCGAAGCAGTCTTTCGGAATCATGGTATCTTTTAGAAGCTGCCCCCACCCTGTAATAGTGACTATAAGGATTATGTATATGATTATATTAGGGCCCTATTATATTCCTATTATACCACTATTACAGGGTGGGGGCAGCTTCTAAGGAATCATGGTATCTTGACATTAGGATAGATATCTCAAAATGCCATGAAATATAGTTTAAGACATGCTGAAATATATTTCGAAACACCATGGAGTATATTCCAAAATACAAAAATATGCGCAACCCCAAAGAACCTAAAGTCGAATGCGGGGGCAGCCGGAAGAAGACGGCAAGGCTGGAAGGCAAGGTAAGACACTGTGTGATTTTCCATGCAAGTAGATGCTGTATAATGATATTCAGCACAATAATAATAATGACAGTCGTAACAATAATCATAGTAATACATAACAGTAGAAAACTATGATAACAATAACAGCAATAAACATCACAATAAAAGTAACAATAATCATAATAATACTTATGATTATAATTGTAGTAACAGTGACAACAATAACAATGGAAACAATACTAATAACAGGAACAACCATAATAACAATAACAATAATGAGTGAACATCTGTATAGGACTTACGTGGATTCGCAAAGACACATGCGCATGCATGTACAGGCAAAGAGAGAAGGAGAGAAAAACAACTGGACGCATGTCGCAAGTACAGATCAATACACGGCAGTATACCACGCAGCAGTGCATATTGATCTCCTGTTGTACCTTAAAGCCAGCTCTGCTCCATACTGTCCTGCGATAGGCTGGTGCATGATAGTGTCGAACCCCTCATCCCAAACCCTGCGCCCGAAAGACACTAAACCCTAAAACCGAAAACAACTGAAACCCTAAACCCTAAACCCTAGAATCATAAAAACCCCTGAAGCCCGAAGCCCCCATCCCCGAACTCTAAACCCTGAGTGTAAAACTCTAAATCCTTACAAGATCCCTTTAAGATCCCTTGAAGGAACCCTTTAAGAAACCTCTAAAGGAGCCCTCATACAAGCCTAAAGATCCCCCACCCATCCGCGTGCACCTCGGCACAACCGCTCGCACCTCTCGGCCTCAGAGAGTCGCAGCATGGCTTTGAGGTTTCGGTGTTTAGGGCTTGCGGTTTAGGATTAGGGCTTTGGTGGCAAGTTTAGGGTTTAGGATGTGGGGTTTAGGAGTAAGGGCTTGGGGTTTAGGATTTCGGGTTTGGGGTTCAGGATCAAGGGCGGGTTTGGGTTTAGGGTTTTAGGGTTTGGTTTGGGGAACCAGCGGAGGAGAACCGGCCAGAAGATCCTTAAGGAGGGGCAGAGGCGGTCAATGGGGATGTACATCCTAAGAATTCCTACTGTTGATGGACAAAATCCTGCATGACCCTAAGGACTTTACACTATGGGAACTATTGTATATTCCTTAAAAAGTGTAGTGCAGGATTTTGTCCATCAACAGTAGTGTTCCCTCAGGATCCCGGGCCCCACTTCCTTGGAACCGCCCCCACTTCAAGATCCTATAAACTGGCGTGCTGCAAAGAGGACAGAATGCCGCAGCTGCAAAACACAAACTCGTAGCAATAAGCATGCAAGCTGTTTGATGATGATGGTGCTGGTGATGGCGATGATGAAGATGATGATGATGATGATGAAGATGATGATGATGATGAGAAGGAGATGATGATGAGGACGGCAGTCTTAGTTATTGTATAGCAGTGTGGTTCTTATTTGTCCTGAACTGTTCAAACACCATGAAACTGCAACTTACAGCAACATTGCACTTGCAGAACTGCAAGGCCGACGGATAAATCCAGGAATGATAGCAGAGATAACCTCACCTGTCAGGATGAACAGCACTCATATAGAAGACAGAACCTGCAACAACGAAAAAGCCGGCGACAGGGACAAATTTGCAAAGGATGATGCCACAGATAGACTGCAACCCCCGGAAAGCTGACCCTGAACCCAAAACCCGAAACCCTAGTACAATATGTAAACATTGGGACCCTTATGCTTTATCTTAAGGGCTTTGCGCAATGGTGTTCTGATTTTTGTCAGCTGTTACAATATGGGACGTTCAGAAACTGGAGGACCCCACTAATGTAAACCCTAAGCAGGAAGATCTTTAATGTAAGGACACCCACATAGTGACCCCCACAGTAAATCTCTGAGACCTCCCCGGAAGCAACTTAGGGGTGATGGCTTAGGGTTTGGGGCTTGGGGTGGAGGGTTTAGGGCTTAGGGATCAATCCAAGGCGTGCACTTGGCGTTGATATTTCAAGGCAATATCTCGTCCACTTGATCCGACCTGCTACTTTGCGCGGGCGAACCCGAAAGCAAATAAAACACCATGTTCCGAAGCAGAACGTCTGTCACTAGACTTGAGAATTTTAGGGTTGTTTTAGGATTCTATAGCTTTTGCGGGTTTAGGGGTTTAGGGCTTCAGGGCTTTGAGGTGTTTTAGTACTTCAAGTTCTAGATTTTGGGACTCACGTGTTCAAGGGTTCAGGGGTTCAAAGGCTCAGCATCTTCGCCCCCCAAACCGCAACCCAGAGACTCCAATATCCCTTAATTAAGGAATATACCTTAAATTATAGTAGGATCCTTAATATGATTTAAGGAATATTCCTTAATTAAGGGATATTGGAGTCTCTGGGAACCTTCTGAGTGGCGTCGGTAGAAACGAATCCAATCTGCCGAAGGACCCTGAGCAACGACCTTTGCGCTGCTAAACAAAGAGTCTCATTAGTTGACAGTACCCCGTTTGGTCCTTCATATGTGTATCCATATACATATATACACATATACGTACATGCATACATCTGTTTGCGTGTATACAAGACGAAGGAAAAGACAATACAACGTGCCCCCAAACCCCTATTCTAAATATGGGAGTTTACGAAAACATGGGGTACCTTAGTTTGGGGTCCTTATACTAAGATCCCACTATTCAGGGTACTATATTATGGCCCCCTAGTTTCGGAAACTCTCCTACAGTAGAAGCCAGAAAGTTGGAATATCATTATCGTAAACCCTTTATCGTAAATTATAAGGGATCCTACCCTGAAACCATATTCCAACTTTCTGGAGTTCCCTTTAGGCCCTGATTTGCCGCGTCGAGGCCTCAGGGTTTAGAGTTTCAGGAGTTTCGGGTAAAGGGGTGCGGGCTTAGGGCTTTAAGCTTTCAGCGCTTTACGGGAACGCCACTGTAAAAGAAAGTTAGTCAGGTTTAGGGCGGTTTAGGGTTTAAGATTTCTAAGGGATATCACACGGCTCCTTTATGGGTGCTCCCTTATAGGATCCTTGTAAGGATGCTTAGTGCCGATTCTCCGGTGCCTTTTTGATTTCATCGGGCTTCGCAGGGTCCCGGAATGAAGGAATAGGACGTCAACTATCTGGGAATCCTTGCTAGGATGTAGGGGTTTCAGGGTTTAGGGTTTAGGGTTTAGGGTTTAGGGTTTAGGGTTTAGGGTTTAGGATTTAGGGTTTAGGGTTTAGGGTTTAGGGGTTTAGGGTTAGGGATACAGCGCATGTTCCTTAGTGGAGGGGCTTTCGAGTCGAGGCTGTCTGCGGTTCCGTGCGCCCTGAAACCCAAACCCCGGAACCGAAAACTTCAATGCAACCGCCCAGAAACCCCAGAACCCTAAACCCTAAACCCCCCAAACCCCAAAGCTTGTAAGTAAGAACATGTACGAACTTGGAAAAGTTGGCAGGGCACAAAGTAAGCAGGCGTAAGACAGCGCGTAGTTCATCATGGCGCGCTCAAAGTACGCCATTATAGCAACCCTTTAGTAGCCTTCCACAACCCTTCTACTAATTTAAGTCTAGCGTGAAACATCCGGTAGATCTGGGTCGAGCCGTTGGCCCTTCTTGCTAAGGCTGTTAAGGAATGTAATTCGAATTACCCTAATGGGATTCGTTGTAAATAGCAAGGTTTTCTTACTATGGTAAACTTACATGAAATCCCCAAAATCCTTAGATCCTTAAGCCCTAAACCTTAAATCCCTAAGCCCTAAAACATGGATAGGTTCTAAATACCTAGGTTCCTGAGTGACCCCTTATTAGTCGGGGTACCATTTTTCCTAATATTCTGCTTTATTTGGGAGTTTCCGAAAATAGGGGATCCTAATACAGTACCCTAAATAGTAGGATCCTTATTATAAGGGCCGCCAAAATACGGTACCCCTAATTTTCGGAAACTCCCATTTAATAAGGAGACTCAACAGAAAGACTCAGGAGCTTAGGAACCCAGCCTCATGGTCTTCAGCGCTTGAAGCACAGCTCCGGCGTCAACGTCATAAACCTGGCGCTCGTTGCTGGGACTTCATTACGGGTTCATTTTTGGGTTTAGTGTTTAGGGTTCAGGGTTTAGGGTGGCTCATTTTCGGGTTTGGGGTTTAGGGTGGTGGTTCCTTTGAGGGTTCCCATGGGGGTTCGGGCTCAGAGAAGACTTTAGGGCGTGCGATTAAACTACTTGGAGGCTAGGATGCCCTGACCAAGTCTGCCGCGCTGAGCAGGCTCTTGAAGTCAGCTCGTTTCGATGAAGAAGGCGAGTAGCTCAGTCACATCGGGGCTTAAACTGATACATGGCAGTGGTGGATGCCAGTGCCGGCAATTGATGCGGCACATTCCCAACACTCCACCCACTGCCCATCCGAAAGCTCTGTTTACTTCCCTGGCCACTTTAAGCGGCTCGAAAAGACACATCATTTTAGCATGTCTATGACAACTCAGAGACTCCAAAACCATGACTAGAGGGATCTACTTCAAATCGTACCAGGGATCACCTTTCAAAGCCCCACACCGTATAGTACTAAACCCTAAACCCCAAACCGTCCGGGGGCTTCGGAGTCTCTGGGAACTCAGGTCCTTCACAACACCTGGGAGACCACGACTCCATCATGGGATCTCATGATCCCGGCGTCCTCGCTGGACAGACTTCATCGAAACACTGGACTCTAAAGCCCTCGGGTTAAGGGGTTTAGGATTTGAGGTTTAGGAATTGGGGTTTCGGGGTTTAGGGCCCCGAATCCGAAATCCTAGACCCCAAGCCCCTGAACCCCCTAAACTCCTACACACCCTAGCCCTAAAGTGCTATTATATACCCATTATATAGCCCATTATAGGGTAGGGGTCCCCATTAAGGGTCCCTCATTTTCCCCTTTGCTTACCCCTAAACTGCTAAACTCCCGGCGTCCTCGCTGGACACACTTGATCGCGGCGTCTTCGCCACCTCCTTCGACGGCATTCGCGAGCTCTCGCTCTCCTGGGTTCTTCAGCCCCTTATACTTGGAAGGGCAGGGGACTTAAGCAGGTTATAAGTAGAGTTATAAGTACCCTTAATGGAGTTACCCCAATTATAACCCTACTTATAACCTACTTACTAAGCCCCCTGCCCCTCCAAGTAGATCCCTTTAAAGGAATCCCTACAGATCCCTTTAAGAGGAACGCTTATAGATCCCTTTAAAAGGAATCCCTATAGATCCCTTTAAAAGGAATCCCTTATAGATCCCTTTAAGGGAACTCCTAGCAACCCGCCGGGAGGGTGTGTACTTCTCTGGGCTTAGGGTCTTTAGGGTCTGGGGCTTGGGGAGAAAAGTATATGCTGACTCTTTGGGTCAACTTTGTTTTCATAGGAACCGCACGAAAAAAGTGTAGCTTTTCAGAGTTAGCTTATACTATAGAAGGGACCCAGAAGACAAAAAACAAACACTCTACACCCAAACCCTAGCAACCCATCCCCGAAAGAAAAAGCCTAAACCCTGAACCCCTAAAACCTAAACCCTCTAAACTGTAGCAACCCGGTCTCGAAGGCGAGGGCACTTAGCGCCTCTTCCGCCTCCGCCGCCAGCTTCGTCGAGAGACGGGAACTGACCCCTTCTCCATTGATCTGCTCATCGTCTGCCTTAGGGTTTAGGGTTGAGGGTTAACACAGATTTCTGGAAGGATCTGAAAAGGAAAGTATACAGCGTAAGGGTTCAACGAAGTGTGGTAGTGTTACCACGGTTTAGGGTTTAGGGTTGAGGGTTTTGCGCTTAGGGCTTAGGTGTTACCATCAAGTCTTAAGTCTCTCTGCAGGGCTTTATAGGGTTCGACATTCTCTCACAGGGTTACTCCGAGACCTTGAACATGAGGTGTATTCCTGAAGCAAGCGTGGTACAGTCTCTGACTATAAGAACATTTTTAGAACCTTTTAAAAACCTTCGTGAAACACTTTACGCTTATGAAAACGCTAAAAAAACCTAAGAACCCTTTAAAACCCTACAAAGACCTAAGCCCCTGTGGCAACCCTCGTTTTAACCTTAAGACCCCTGAGCACTTCTGATAACTCTTTCAGAGCCCTTCTGCCCTAAACCCTAAAGCCGAAACCCTGAACCCCCTAAACCGTAAACCCAACAACGGTGTCTGCCTCATCTAAGGCCTGTCCCGCATCGTGGTCTTTGTAGCGGCGGAATCGCCGGGAGATCTCCGATGTCCTCGGCTCTCCAGAATATCCCCCTAGAAACTTAGGGTTTAGGGTTTAGGGTTTCCCCCTAGAAACTTAGGGTTTAGGGTTAGTTACAGTAACCCCTTAAAAATTAGCTAGGTTCCCCAGCAGCCCCTTGATAATTTCCACCCTTTCTCCTACTGTTCGGTTTTACGTCGTCTGCAAAGAAAAACGGCAAAAGGGTACTACGGAGGAACCTCGTTAGGGTTGCGTGTGGTTTTGGGTGCTTCAAAGGGTTTCATTGGGTTTGAGAAGAGTTTCTGAAGAACTATGGGGTTACCCTTGGCTCCCAGCTGTTCAGTTTTCACAAGGAGACCCCAATATATGAAGTGCCACTCACGGGCTAGTACTGGGGGACGCAGAAACACTCAACCGCACACTGCAACATCTCTTTCTAGACCCTTACAGAAACCCAGAAAAAATCTTGAATCCCTTAAGTAAGACACGGATACTAAATTTAAAGGGTGATCTTTATCAGGACCCCCAAGTATAGTCCTTAATTGAATAGCGCGGGAGTCTCAGGGACCCTTCAAGGAATGCTCCTAGGGTCCGCCTTCACCGGGCCTTCCCCCTAAACCCTAACACTGCCCCAAACAACAACACTAAACACCTCTCAACCCTCCAAGCCCCCGCAACCCCCTAAACCCTGAACCCTAAACCCTCAACTCCCTTTCTGCAACAGGCTTCGTACTTCGCCTGGGGTCAGTCGCCCCTGAAGCTTCAGCAGCTTTACTGCTGGCCAAGACCACTCACACCATCAAGTTCACCAGCCCTTGCTCCCTAAGCCCTCAACCCCTAAACCCCTTAAACTCCAATAGGCCCCTCAAGCACATCGTAAATTATAGTAAGATCCTTAATATGATTCAATGAATATTCCTAAATCAAGGGATCTTGGAATCTGGGTGGGACCTCAAGTGGGACCTAGGCTCTGCCTCTCCAGCAGGCCCTCGGAGCCCATGGGAGACAGAGGCAGGGCCAGGACGTTGAGAAGCGACCGATAGGCCTCGGAGCGCAACTTTCAACAACAAAAAGGAGGCAGAAACAAACTAAAGACAAAGACAAAGAAATGTGGTAAGCCCAAACAGCAATAGATGAAAAACGATGGTTAAAGTAACAACTGAAAACAGTGAAAGCAAATCAAAAAGCACATGTTTAGTCGATACGCCTTGGAGAGCCGGGGCCCGATTTCGGGCCCAAGGCCGTCCCAACCCAAACCATTCACCTGGCCGGGTGTTGAGGGAGGGCTCTTGAAGGGCTCCTTAAAGGGATCTACAGGTTCCTTAAAGGGGTCTATGGGGCTTAGGGCTTAGGGTCTATAGGGTTCCTTTGAAGGGCTTAGGGTGTAGGGCTCAGGGTTTAGTGTGATTTGGGGCTTCCTTCAGGGTTTGGCGGTTTAGGATTCAAGGTTTAGTATTTAGGATTCGGGATTTCGTTGTTCTAAAGGTTTTGAGTAGTGTTCCTTCAGTGTTTCTTTAGTGACCGCAACGGTATTCTATAAGGGCTCTAAACTTTCCGGGTTTTAGGGTTCCTTGAACTGCTGAAGGAACTCCTAGGAAGTCTATAAGGGCTTGGAAGCTTATTTTTTTTTGCCCCAGAGCTTCAGGCCTCAGGAGTGCAGGGCTCCAAGGTTCAAGGGTTCAGAAAACCCGGAACCCCGAGCCCTAAACCGTAAACCCCCTCAACCGTAAACCCCAACACCCTCAAACCGAAATCCTAACCCTTACTCCTGGTGAGCCCAAAACCCTAAATCCTAAACCCCTATAATACCCTTGTAGATCTCATATAGATCCCTTGTAGGATCCCTTGAAGGATCCCTTCTAAAGCAACCCTTAAAGGAACCTTTGAAGGAATCCTAAAACCCTAGAGAACCCAGACCAGTTCGCCTCCAGCTCCTTGTAGAACTCGGCACCGGGGAACTCGAATCCCGCGTCCGCCGACACGGTCACAATCTCGAGGTGCCTTGCGGATAAGGGCTTGAGGTTTAGGGTTTCAGGTGTAGCGTTTAGGGTTTAAGGTGTAGGGTTTAGGGTGTAGAGTTTAGGGTTTGGGATTTAGGGTTTAAGGTTTAGAGTTCAGGCTTTAGGGTCTGGGGTTTAAGGCTTTTTTTGAATGCCTTTTTCCGTCTGCAAGGGGTTTGAAGTTTGGATTTTGGGGTTTAGGGAAATTTAGGGTTTGGGGTTGAGGGTTTAGGGCTTAAGCCCTCTCATGGTGCCTTGCACTGGGCTCCTCCTCCTCCTCCTCTGCCTCCGTCCCGGCGCCAGTCTGCAAAAGGATCTGGGCAAAGCGAGGATCCCGGAGCATTCCCCTGGAGAAGAGGACGACGAAGTAGTATGCCCAGGGCTTATAGGCGATCATTTCTTTCTCCGACCGAACCAGAACACATTCCTGGGATCTCGTGCAGGAGTTTAGCTTTAGTTACCACAAAACGGGTCTATGGTCAATGATAGGGTCTTCTTGATTATGATACCTTAAACCTTTAAACCCTAAATCCTAGATCCCTTAACAAGAACCCAGAGTCTGTACGAAGATGCGTCTGCACCAGAATCTGAAAAACTTCGCAGGTCGCGAGAGCCTCCGCATCGGTAACGGAGCCCGTAATGAGAATCCGCGCCTGAAATAGGGAGTTCCTTTAAGGGTTCAGGGTTTAGGGTTCCTTTGAGGCTTTGCGCATTCATACGGGGGTTCCTTTAAGGGTTCAGGGTCTGGTTAAAGGTTTAGGGTTTACGGTTTAAGGTTCTATTAGAGGAACTAAAAGGTTCCACCATCGGGTTCCTTTAAGCAAACTACAACGGCACCATGATTCACAGCGCCTTCGTGTGTGATGGGCTCGAGCTGCCGGCGGCTCCAAAAACATTCATGGACACGTTGCACCGCTTCAGCATCTCTATGACCACTTCCTCCCGCTTCTCAGAGGAGCCAAAGCGGCTGAGATGCAGCGCCGCCACATCGTCACGGAGCCAGACGTAGGCCTTCTTCACAGAATAACAACAGCAATAAACGTAATAGAAACGGAATAGCAGCAGTACTGGTACTACAAATACTAGTAATAATAGTTGTGATACTAAGAATAAGAAGAAGAAGAATGATGATCACGAACATATTAAAAACAGTAATAGTAATCGTAATTATAGCGATAGCATGCCTTTCTCACGTCATCCTAATGACAATGATAATAACAGAAACAATGACAATGGTAGTAACAATAATGAGAAAATGCCTTCTTCACGTCATCCATGGTGATGCCATAGTTAGCCAGGATTTGCTTCTGCTGAGCTGTCCAAACCTCCGGAATCAACTCCTGGGCATCGATTTCAACAGATCCCGAAAAGTTTACGTGCAGCTGAGGCTTAGGGTGTTAAGGTCAGGCTTCAAGGCTTAGGATTTCAACAGACCCCCAACAGTTTGTGTAGAGCTAGGGTTTAGGGTTTTGGAGTTTAGGGTTTCGGGTTTAGGGTTGGGGTTTAGGGTTGAGGGTTTTAGGGTTGAGGGCTTGAGGGTTCGGGTTTTAGGGTGCTAGACTCTGCTAGCCTCAACCAAAAAAAGAAGTTAAAGAAAGTTGACCAACATCGGCACCTAGTCTCCAAATCTTCGTCCGTGATTGACATGAAGCCTCAGTTGCTCTGTTCATAAGCTCAAGCAACGTACACTTTTGGTCCTAAAAGGGATAATATCTAACCTAAACAGTGTAAAGCGTACTCATTCAGCCAGTCAGAAGCCATCACAGATTAAAGGAACGGTCGTGACTTTGTTCTTGTGGGCAGTCACGAGCTCCTTGGCTAGCCGGGTTTAGGGTTTAGGTTCGTCAACAACTCTTTCAGCTTCAGCTTCCATGGGGACCTTGCGCTTCAATACCTACAGGGAACTCCAGAAAGTTGGAATATGGTTTCATGGTAGGATACCCTATAATTTACCATAGAAGGGTTAGGATAATCATATTCCAACTTTCTGGCTTTTACCTAAGTTAAGGGTTAAGGGTTTAGGGAGTCTGAGCGTGGGGCGGTCGCAGGAGTCAAACATCAAGCTAGTTCATTGTTGGGATAGGATTAGATATGTACTTATTTTACTCCTTATTGGGTTCAAGTATCCATAAACATGTAAATTGTTACCCAACTCTGACAAAGTAAATCTCCAGAATGTGGTGCAGAGGCTCCCCAGCACACCACATGCGCTTGAGCAACTCGGGAGTCTTAACCGCGACCACACTCTTTGTCATGGAACCTGGGTTCTTGTTAAGGAAGTTATTTTATGGTACCATACTAGGGGTTTTAGTAAGTACTCTGGTGTCCTTATGAAATATGGTAACTTAGATTAAATCCCCTTAACAAGGCCCTAAACCCTAAACCCTTATAGAACCCGTAAAGAAACCCCAAAGTTATGGTAACTTAACAAGCACCCAGGAACGCACGGTATGAAAAATGAGATCCAACTCCTCCAGCTGATCTGAGTCAAGGAAAACATTTACGGGGCTGTTCCTGGCAATCAGCATCTTCAGAAGACGGCAGAGGCTGCCGGCACCTGGGAGTTTCCGAAAATAGGGGGACCCTCATATAACACCCTAAAGAGTAGGATCCTCATTCTAAGGACCCCAACATGAGGTACACCTAATTTTCGGAAACTCCCAGACCTCCCTTGTGGTGGCAGAGGAAGACGCCAAACATCGTCCGTGGGCTGAAATGGCGAAACACCGCGAAACACACAGCAGCAAGGCCCGCCTCGGTTCTTGAAATTTGAATAGGGTTCCTTTACAGTTTAAAGGGTTTAGGGTTCCTTTGAAGGGGCTTATAAGGGTTTAGGGTTCCTTTAAAGGGATCTAAAAGGGTCACTATAAGAAATCTTGAGGGGTATTTTAAAGCCTCGGTTCTTCTAAATGTTCCTTTAAGGGTTCTACCAGGGATCTATAAGGGTACTGTAGGGTTCAGGGTCTTTGGGGTTCAGGGTTTAGGGGTTTAAGGGTTTAGGGTTTTTATGGCTTTTAGGGTTCTCCTAATTAGAATAAGGTTCCTTTAAAAGGGTTTAGAAGGGTTTAGGGTTCCTTTACAGGGGTCTAAAAGGGCCACTATCAGGGATCTATAGGGGTATTTTGAAGCCTGGGTTCTTCTTCTCATAATACTAGTACTAATAATCGTAATGGTGAGTAATCATAATCACACTCATCATAATCATAGTCATAGCACTAATAATGACAAGTATACCGAACAGTGTTGATGGTTTAGGGCCAGCTAGTTCTGGTAGCTCCCTCGTCTGTGGGTTCCTTGATCTAAGTTACAGTGTGTGTTGCAGGCTTTTGGGTTTAAGGCTAAGTTCCTTCATACACCCTAAAAGCCCAAAGTGCCAGTTCCTCACCAAACAATGCTTAAGCAAGTCTGTATGCCATCCCTTATGCAGCCCCCTCAAGCCCGGAAAAGGCCTGAAAAGCTGAAACAAGACCAGCGGCCAGTAACGGGCCTAGCACAGCGAAGAGCAGCAACCAACCGAGCACCTCAGTCGACTGCTCCTTGTCAATCTCCAACCTCCAGGTTTACAAGGGTCAGGGGTTCAGGGTTCAGGGTTTAGGGGGTTGCTCTTTGTCAATCTCCAACCTGGGTTCACAAGCGAGTTTTGTACATTCTGCATTGGGTCTTGCAGGGGTGTTTAAGCTTCTTAAGCTTCTTGAAGAGTCTTCTAAGGCTTCAAGCTTTGGTTCAGAGACAATGGAGCTCGGAGTTTGTCGTGGTTGAATGGGTTGCTATACGGGTTCTTATCAAAGTGCTATAGGGTTTAGGGTTCCATAGCGTTCTGTTGGGTTCTATAAGGTTAAGGATTCAGAATTCTACAGCGCTCTGTACGGCTCAGGCTCAACAAGGTTCTCGACGGTTCCAGGGGGTTTGATACCATCCTTTTGAGAGCTATCTTCCACCCGTGTTATATGCTCTTCAAAATGTGCAAAGCTGTGTCTGTGTCGCTTGTTGACCTATGTCGGTTTCTATACGGATTGTTTAGAGGCTCTACTTCAGCAACTTCACCGTAACTTCACCTCCCGATCTTGTGAAAAGTTTCACAGGGGCTGTACAAAGCGCGTATGAAAACCGTCTATTGTAGTAGCGCAATGTGCTCCTTATGGAGCCTTTCTAGGAGATTTTACGCAATCCTCGTTTAAACTAAAGCACAACATACACCTTCCAACCATCCCCGGTCCTGAATAGAACGCTGCGAAAACCAGCCATGACCCTAAACCCTCAACCCGTGCGCTAAACCCTAAACCCTCAACCCCTGAACTCTAAACCCTCAACCCGTATGACTATACTGATCTTAGAACCCTAGCAAAAATTATAATTTTAGCTGTTTCTTAGGGATTATTATAACCAAAAATAAAAAAATACTTCTAAGTACCCCTAAGATGAACTCTTACAAAGTCCCAGCAACAGGGGAGCTGCCCCGAGGAGCACCACCAGCAAGAAGCCGGTCATGATCGCATCTGCAAAATTGGCCGCCTCCAGTTTGGGGCTTGGGGGTTTAGGGTTTAGGTGTTTTTTTTTAGGGTTTAGGGTTTGGGGTTTGGGGTTTAGGGTTTAGGCTTGAGCTTTGAGGGTTAGGGTTGTTTTCTGTTTTAAGCTTTTGGGTTTAGGGTGAAAGTTTAGGATCTCATCTGCCAAATTGGCCGCCTTACTGCAAAAAGCGCTTGAAGGGATTTGGGGTGTCCTCCCTCAGGTGCTTCGATGCGAAAAACCTTATGTAGGACTCAACCCAGAGGGATTCCCAGAGACTCCAATATCCCTTAATTAAGGAATAGACCTTAAATTATATTAGGATCCGTAATGCGGTTTAAGGAGTATTCCTTAATCAAGAGATAGTCGAGTTTCTGGGTTTAGAGTCTAGAGTTTACAAACAATTGAAACCGCTTCATAAGCAGCTTCTCGGGCTCGTGGGGCTTACGCTGACAGGATATGTGTATGTATATATGTATACATATACTGCACTGATGTAACTTTGGGTACATATATAATATTAATAACAGTAGTAATAATAATAATATCAATACTAACACTAACAATAGAATAATCACAATAATAGTTTTAATAATAATACAATGACACGGTGTTTGCATGTATACGCACGCATATATCTATTTACACTTGTTCTTTGTTTGTATTTAGTTATGTACGCGTGAATGTGCGTATGTACATGTCTACTTAGCCGTTTACACGAGTTGTTTATGTATTGATGTACTTATGTATATGTCACAAATACCTATGCCTACATATATACTTATATGTTAGTATGTGGTTATGTATATACATCTATACATAGTCTATCTCTTAATGTACTTATTTACAGTCTAGATGCCGACATATTGACATTAATTGATATTTAGTTAGGCGTATTTTTTAGGTGCATCTCTGTATGTATGTACTTTGACATGTTTGTCTACTCATTTATCAGTTTATTCGTTTGCAGGGCTCTCACAACAACAGCCACGAGGCCCAACGGAAATACCATTGTGACACCACGACGATAAGGGAGTGGGAAAGATGGGGGGAACAGGGTTTCCTTACTATGGTAGCAAAAATGAAGTTCCGGAGAAAGAACCCAGGACAATCACAATCGCAATCAAAGCACAACAACACTGCTTGCAAGAGGAGGACCCAGATAAAGGATTCCAGTCGAAGCCAGAAGCGCAAAGCGAATGCTACGGCGCTTCGGGAACACTAATATAGGGGCCTTAATTATATAATTACCCATACTAGTTTGGGGGTTCCTTATAATAGTTATCGTATACTGGGTCCCAGAGGAGGATGCACCAAGGGCAACGGTGGTATGAAGTGGCGGATGTGGCAGTAACTGATAGTAGTGATGGTAAGCGGCAGAGGTGGCGTCGTCGTATTAATCCTCATGGTAAAGTCGTCAGAAGGGTTTAGGGGTTCTTGTTTAAAGGATTGATCAAGTGCTAAGTTTTCTGTTGTGATAGGGAGAAGGGGGAAGCTGCCCCAAACCCTGCACAATTCTTAACCCCAAAGCCTAAACCCTTCTAAACGCTGAACCCTACTAAAGCCGAAACCCTTTTAAATCCTAAACCCTAAACCCCTTCTTGAACACTTAACCCTGCCCAAACCATAAACCCTACAAAGGAGTTTCCGAAAATAGGGGACCCCAATATAGAACGCTAACTAATAAAAATTCTTACTATAAGGGCCCCAAGATACGGTGCCCTAATTTTCTGAAACTCCTCCTTAACCCTAAACTCTTCTAAACCCCAAACCCTTCTTTAACCCTACACCCCTCTTAAACCCTAAACCCTATAAAGGGCTTAGGCTTCCTTTCTGTGAAAGGGCTTAGGGTTCCCTTCAAAAAGGCTTCGCCTCCGTACGCCAGGGCCAAGTTCGGACCTGAAGAAGCGAACCAAGGACGAAGAGGGCGCCCATGAGCAGCACCTTCCCAGAGGCTCGGGGTTTAATACAGGGTTTAGGGTTTAGGGTTTAGGGTTTAGGGTTTAGGGTTTAGGGTTTAGGGTTTAGGGTTTCAGGGGCCTTAAGAATTAGAATAAGGTTCCTTGAAAGGGGTCTGTTAGGGATCCATAAAGGTGCTACAAAACACGGGCCTTGATGGGGGTTTCGGGGTTTAGGGTTCTGGCTTGGGTTTCCCGGAAAGGGTTTAGGGTTGCTGTAAAGGGGTCTAGCCTAGTGTCTGAGGTTTGGAGTTTAAGTTTTTAGGGCTTGGGGTTTAGGGGGGGTTAGGGGCTTGGGCTTGTAGGGCTCAGGATTCAAGGCTTAGGCGGTTTTGGGGCTTAAAGTTTAGAGGTTTAGGTTGGCTCGGGGTTTAGGGTTTACTGCGGGGGTGAACAGCAACTTTTGGTGGGGATCGGGGTTGGCGACTTAGGCTTTAGGGGTTACCTGTAGCCGAAAAGACCTAGCTTTTTAGGGTGCCTGTTTATGGTTTCTATATCTATATCTATATATATATATATATATATATACAGTTCCTTAAAAAGGTAAGTCTTTTCGGCTACGGGTAGGGGTTTGGTCAAGGATTCAGGGTTTGCGGGTTTGGCCCTTTTCGAGGTCGTCAATGCTCGATTCTTGTTACTACGGAGCCGGCAAAAATCCAAAATCGAGAGCCGCCCTCACCTGAATCTCGGGTGTTGCCACAAAGGCGACCGGGAACAAGGCGATGAAGGCATTGCGGAACAGCAACAGCAGGCCATAGTAGTAGCCTGGGCTGTTGTAAAAGGAGCTTAGGGGATATGATATAGGGATCCTTTTAAAGGGTTCCTTAAGGGATCTAAAAGCTTCCTTTAAAGGGGTCTATAAGGGTACTATAAGGGATTTAGGGATATAGGCGCCTTAATAACTCAATTAGACTAGGGTTTTGGGGCCCATTATACTGTACTTACAACAAGGAACCTCCAAAACCTTGTAGGTAATTACGAAGCCCCCTATACTAGGCTGGGTGACTAATATGCAACTTCTCAGTGTCATTATTACTACTAGTGTCCTCATTAAAAAACTTATGAGTCTTAGTAGTACTAATGTTTTTACTGCTTATACTTGTATTACTATGGCGGTCACTTAGGCTAAGCTCCTCAACATTCCAGCAGACCCAGTAGCATTCGGGCCTGAACCGCTGGAAAAGGAAGCGATAGCGATTCACGAGCTGGAGGCCTTTGCCAGAGGCAATTCGGATCGGATACATGACGGTTGTGTAGGTAGCCCACACCAATATCGCGATCGGGTAGCAGATGATACCCGTAATGGAGAGAAGGATCAACACCCAGTGCTCCGCCGAGCTGTAACAGATGATCCCTGGATTCGCCGCCATGGAAGAGCTCCCATCTGGGTTTTGGACGCACTGAAAGGGGCCCAACACGGCCAAACCCAGGGTGATGAAGAACGCGAAAATGATGATTCCATTCATGTTGAAGAGCGAATCCAAGGTTACTCTACGCCCGCGGAGGCGTGCCATGACCCAAGCGGCCAAGAGCAAGCAAGAGCCCATAGGACAGACAAGAAGTTGGCAAAGGAACTTCAAGGTGGGGCTGTCCTGACCAACAAGACCTTGGCTAACTTCTAAAAGTTAAACTCTTAGCCTAACCATTATAGCTCGTACAGAAACCCAAAATAGCTATAAAGATCTAAGAGGCAACCAGAAGAAAGCCAAGAGACAAGAGATACGGATCATATCAAAGTCGAAGGTCAACACTCCGGTTAAGTCGATGAGGCGGCGCACCGGCTCCACCCAGTTAATCGACAGTTGCCGGATAGAGCCAAGGGCCTGGATGGCCTGGGTTTAGGGTTTGGGGTTTAGGGTTTGGGGTTTAGGGTTTAGGGTTTCTTGTAAAGGAACCTAGTTTAAGTCGTCAGAACAAGGAAATCCTATCTTTTACGCTAGATCCCCCTTCAGGTAACTTAAACTACTTAGGTTCCTTAAAACACTCAACCCCATGGCAGCTTAAGTGAAGCTCCTCAACCTGAACCCAGTGGCCGTCACCATCTGGCTGCCGACCGTGGCAACAGTGATGACATTCAGCGACTGCTGGTTCATGTCTGCATTAACACAAGAGAACAAAACCATGACGACCAGCGCAACCTGGGCTGTGCTTTAGGGAGTTTAGGGTTTTAGGGCTTCTAGGGTTTGGGGTTTAACCTGGGCTGTGTTCCAGGAGGTCAAACAATGCAATTTTTCACTCCAACTTCAAAGAATTGAACAAGTATGAGAAGTTGTACTCAAGAACATCAAATGAAGAATAAGTACCATGAGGATCCCACAGCGTACCGTAAAGGTCTAGATCGAGGCAGCCCAGCAACCACGATAGCGCAAAGCATTGCAGGGAGGGCATCTCCCGCACCGCAAGGTTTGCAACTCCCCTCCTCCAGGGGATAGTGGCCCTCCTTGCAGTTGTTGCATGCCATACCTGGCCGGATCCTATACTTTGGGGCCGGAAGACGTCTCAAACCAGGAGACGTCCATAAAACTCTTGAAATCTTGAAGTCGGTCTGTTTCCGTTTATGGCTTAGGGTTTGAGGATAAGTTTAAGGATTCGATTTTAAGGTGGGTTTGACGGATTATTAAATGGTCTTTTCGGCCCCCAAATCCTTCTCTGCCATCCGCACATGCGCCAAGAGGATTCCTGGGACACTGCTGCGCACCTCGGCAGCGGAGTACCTTGAAGCTGCACTGGCCCGGCCCTTGAAGCGCGGTCCAAAATCCTGGCAGTTGAGTCGGCGGTCCGAGGCCGGAGTCGCAGAAGAGCCCGTCTGGGCAGGCCAAACAGCCCATGCCACTACACATGAAGGTGCCTTCTGCGCATTTACAGTCGCTGGCCGTCTGCGCACCGCTCTCGTCCGTCACCTGCATCATTCCGCAGCTGGTGCAGCGGTGGGCTCCAACCTCGGAGACGTAGGTTCCCTTCTCGCACCTCAGGCATGCTTCCAAGCCGACCGCATTGGCATAGAAGCCTGCTTGGCACGGGGAACACGAGGAAGAGCCGACTTCACCAGCAAAATGCCCCAAGGGGCATCTTGTGCAGTTCACCATGCCCGTCTCGTTTGCGAAGCTCCCGCGAGGGCACTGCAAGTATGGCTGGGTTCCACCCAAACCTCGGTTCGACTTCTCATCAACTTAGCTCTAGAGTCGTCATAACTTGGACTATCACAAACATATATATAACTAGGACTTTCACACTATTTACCATAGAGATACGTAAACGGTCATATCTCCCCTCTCTCCGGTAACTCAAACTCCTCAATAAGGACCCAGAAGCAGAAGAAACCTCGGGGGCAGGCCTTGCACTGGTTGGACTCCTGGTTTAGGATCTATAAGGGATTCCTTTTAAAGGGATCTATAGGGATTCCTTTTAAAGGGATCTATAAGGGTTCCTTTTAAAGGGATCTATAGGGATTCCTTTAAGGGGATCTACTTGGAGGGGCAGGGGACTTAGTAAGTAGGTTATAAGTAGGGTTATAATTGGGGTAACTCCGTTCAGGGTACTTATAACTCTACTTGAAAACTTACTAAGTAGGATTTACCTGTAGCCGAAAAGACCTACCCTTTTAAGGAACTATGAATAGAAACCATGATAAGGAACCCTCAAAAGGCAGGCCCTTTCGGCTACAGGTAGGGTCTGGGGTTTAGGAGTTCGGTTTGGAGGTGAGGGCTTAGGGTTCTCTTTTTTTGGAACCCTCTTTCATTAAAGGGCTTAGGGTTTGAAGTCTTGGATTTGGCTTAGGCATTAGGCAGGGAGGGTCCTCCTCCTTGAAGAAGCCGGGATCGCAGTAGGTCAGCTCCGGCGGGGGCATCGTGTCACGCTTCCTTTGCACCCCAGTTGAACGGAGATACCATTGTTTCTATTGTTTAGAAAGCAGACTTTCAAATCCAAGTCATAAAAGGTACTACTCAGGGACCTAGCTTCCCGTCCATCCAGTAAAGATCTTGGCCCACCATCGTGAGCTGCCCGGTGCTCGCACTGAAAATCGCACCGACCACCTGGCGCGTTGGAGACGCCAGGCCCTCCGACACCGGCTCGCTGACCAAAAGCTCGTATGATGCCAGACGATCACCGTTTGCGTCAAACTCGATGTCGCCTGTGACTCCCATGAAAGTAGTCTGCCTCAACTCATCCAACAGGGTTGCGCCCTTGATATCGGCAAGGGGAATTCCCTGATTCAGGAGGGTGTTGGCCGCCAGGACGATGGTATACAGAGCATCAAACAAGAAGGTGCCGAAAACTGGGATGTTCGCGTTCGAGAACTCCTCCTGCGTCATGGGAGGAACCAAGAAGGGCACCTTATAGTTGTCAGTCCCATATCTTCCTCTCGCAGCCGGGCTGTCGACATCATTCAAGTCCATCTTCTGCCAGAACGCAGCATAATCTGGAAATTTCGGACCTCATGATTATATGCCCTAAACCCTCTACCCTAAATCCCCAATCCTAAACTCCTAAACCCCAAACCCTAAGACCCTGTCTTGTAGCGAAGTGAAGCTTCGGGATGCCAAAGATCGGACGGAAAGTCTGCCGCTTTGGCCAACTTACTCCCCGACACTCCTCCCGCATGGAACCTTTCAAAATAGTTGCTAGACCCGAACCCTTATATAACCCTAAACCCAACAAACACACTGAAGAGACACACACGACACACACACGCACACAAAAGAAGCAGTAGAAATAATCGAAATAGACGATTTTGAAGACAAAGGCCAACACCCTCCAACAAAAACCTAAGTTATAGAGACAAGAAAAAGGAGAAGAAGGACTCAGGACTAGAATATACTATTATCGACTATAATCGACTGTAATGGACGATAACCGACTGCAATCGACTATGAAGACTATAATCGGCTGTAATCAACTTTTTTACAGCCAATAGGCTATAGTAGACGTACCACAAACAGATGATGATGGACCACAATAGACGCAGGCGGCCCCTAAACGTAAGGGCTCAGGGTCGGACCTCTATCCACGGGGTTCCAGCGCATGAAGCCCACCGGCAGCTCTGAGTCGAAGAACTCCTAGGGCTTTCGCAGGCTTTTTTGGTGTTTTCAACGGTTTAAGAGGGTTTGAATGGGTTTGAAGGGGGTTTGAAGGGGGTTTAGGGGGTTTAAAGGTGCTCAAGGGGGTTTAAGGGGTTTGAGGGGGTTTAAGGGTGTTGAGGGGGTTTAAGGGTGTTTAGGGGGTTGAAGGGGGGTTTAAAGGGTTGAAGGGGGTTGGAAGCTGTTTACGGGGTTTAAGGGGGTTTAGGGGTTGGGGTTTGGGGTTGGGGGAACTCCGGGGCTCTGATCTGAACGGAAAGGCACAGGGCTTCAGGGCACAGTTTTGAGGGAATCTAGCGGTTTAGGGTTTGGGGCCCTTGGGTGATCTACTGTCTAGAAATACGGGTTTAGGGTTTGGGGTTTGGGGGTCTACTGCCTAGGGATACGCAGCTTGAGGGTGTGGCGATATGTTCTTCAGCTTCTAGGGATAAGCCGTTTAGGTATGCAGATGAAAGGCTTCGGGGCCTAGGGATATAGGCATTGAGGTTGTGGGTTTAGTGGTATGAGGTGTTACGGAGTAGGGTTTAGAGTTTAGGGAGCTGGGTTTTGGGATGATAGGGCTTTGCGGGTTCAAGGTTAGGAGGTTTGTAAATGATGCTTAGAGGTATAGAAATTAAGGACCTAGCTTCCCTACGGCTTAGGTGTGAAGGGTTTTAGGGTTTAGGGTTTGAGGATCAAGGGGCTTACACAGCGTTTCGGGTTACAGGGTTTAGGTTTAGAGTTGGGTTTAGAGCTATAATAAGGTTTGGGATTTGGCGATATCAGGCTGAAATCGGATTCAGGAATAGGGTTGTTGCAGCTTTAGGGGCTTAGGGTTATCCACGGGGCTTCAGATTTCAGAATCTTTGGTGTATGATGCACGGTACATGACACCGTAAGTAACCATAACCTGCTTGTGCTGTAAGATCCCTCTAAGCGTTAAGTTGCTGTCTATAGTATTTGGCTTCTAGGTCTCGGTGCTTCAAGTCTTTCAACCTGGATGATATAAAACACCATAGCATGATAACTGAAGGAACCCTCCAATTTAAAACCTACATTCAGTGACCACTTCACGGATGTAGGCTTCGTTTACGAGAATTTTCTAGCTCTCATAACGGTGTCTCACAGACATAAGGAGTTTCATATTTCCTTTGCTACATGCTACATGCTTAACCCTGAACCCTAACCCGAAACCCCACAGACCCTACACCCCCATCCCGGCATGGTTAACGAACACACTTGAACCCTAAATCATGCATCTGGACCCCGAGCCCTCAACCCGAAACTCTCAAAGCCTAGGCTCATAGGGACCCCTAAAGGGGAAGGGGGAGAGGGGGGTAGGGGACTATACTTCCTTAAATCTGCCTTAGTAGGTCCTTATTATGGGCATTGAGGCCCCCCACCCCCCCAAAGGGTCCCTATGATATAGCTCCGTCTCTCAGACATCTCCAACGTGGCAGCTGAAACCTGGCTCCTTATTTCCCTGAACTCCCCTCCAGAACGATCTAGAACCCCGGGACAACCCTGATAGGCTCCCTTCAAAAACGCCGCCCAGTCTCCGTGCCGAAGGCCATCGCAGATTCCGAGCCAAGCAGCTGCCACCCTGGGCCAAGCATCCCCTCAGACCGCAGGACGGGGGCGAAGCCTCGGCTCCCGTTCTGAGGCGGCCACGGTTTAAGGTTTAAGGTTTAGAGCAACACTCATATTTAAAAATATCATAGTATTTCAAACTATGTCATGTGATTTATAACCCTTGGAATATTTGAATTGAAAGAATAGTTCAATCCTAAAAGGACACTACAGTGTTAAGGAGCCCACGACCACTTATATATCGCTATCTGTTATGTGCTGACGAACCCATGTAGAGACGCTTCTGTCTAACTTCCGTGGGAACTTACTTAGACCCTAGACCCCACGGATCCCTTATAGAGCCCTTTAAGGATCCCTTATGGAGCCCCTTATGGAACCCTGCAATGAGAGTTGCTGAACAACTCCAAGGAGCTGGTGAACATCTGGCTGTTCCTCGGTCCGTCTTAGGATGAAGAAGAAAAAAGGATCCGTTCGGGGCTGGTTTTAAAATGCCTGGAAACCCTGGCTTAAAAAAAAAAAAACGCCCCAAAAATCCCTTACAAACCCTAGACACACTCTAAAACCAAGCATCATTGATGCAAAACCGCATACAACCCTACATCCTAAACCCCCATACACGCCCACAAGCACGCTAAACCCAAGGATCATTGCAGTGAAGAGGAAGCGAAACCCTGAACCCTAGACCCCAAAACCCTAGACCTTAAACCGCAAAAACACACGAAAGCAAGAGGAAGCGAAACCCCAAAAACCTAAACCCCAAAACCCCAAAACCCTAAACCCAAATCCCCCCCAGCCCAAGGATCATTGCAGTGAAAAGGAAGCGACTTCCCAGGTTCCTCACCAAAGTCAGGGCTTCCCTGGCCTCTCGGGACTTGTTGAGGGTTTAGGGCTCAGGGCTTCGGGTTAAGGATTTAGGTTCAGGGTTTAGGGCTTAGGGGAGGCTCAGGGTGTATATTGTTGGTTCAAGGATTGAATAGTGCTTAAATGTATAAAACTAGGGACCTAGCTTCCCTACGATTCAGGTGTGAAGGGTTTTAGGCCTTAGGTTTTGAGGATCAAGGGGCTTAGCATTTCGGGTTAGACAGTTTTGGGTGTAGGGCTTAGGGTCATAGAGTTTAGGGTTTAGGATTAAGGCTTTTTGACTGTAGGGCCTCAGGGGTTAGGGATTTAGGGGTTTAAGGTTTCAGGGATTTAAGGTCTTGAGGAGTTAGGCTTTGAGGTTCAGGCGTTTAGGGCTTAAGGGTTGAGGGTTGAGGGTTTCGGGATTTCGGGATTTAGGTGTTCAGAGTTTTAGGTATAGGGTTCAGAGTTATGAAGGTTCACCGTTGGCTTCCAAGGTTTAGGTGTAGGCCTTGATGGGTTCGAGTTTAAAGTTCTGAAGCTCTAGTCCTACAAGGGTTTACAGTTCGGGGCTCAAGTTCTAGGGTTTTGAGGGTCTAGGGTTTAGGGTTTAGGGTTTAGGGTTTAGGGTTTAGGGTTTAGGGTTTAGGGTTTAGGGTTTAGGGTTTAGGGTTGAGGCTTCAGGGTTATGAGTGCTTGGGAAAATTGTCAGGGCCCACAGCCCAAGCCATTAAAAAAGGAGAGACCTGAGTTGATATGTTAAAGGCACCCGTAAAGGAATCCCAACCCGAAAAGACATTAGCCCTAAAGGAATCCTTACAAAAACCCTGGTGTACTGCGTAAGGACAACCCCCCGAGCCTCAGCTAGCACAAAGTTGTTGGGCATGTAGCGAACGGACACGCCTTTGACGCGGCCCTCTTGACCGGCGAGCTTTGCTAGCCTGACATGGGAGTTTCCGAAAATTAGGGTACCTTATTTCAGGGGTCCTTATAATAAGGATCCTACTATTTAGGGTACCATATTAGGGTCCCCTATTCTCGGAAACTCCCACATGCCGGTGCCAGAACCCTGAACCCTCAATCCTCTAAACCCTCGGCTGTAAGCATTGGAATTTAAGGTGGAAGAGGGGGCATGCTTGGAGAGCCCGAAACCTCTTGATGACGGAATAGACCTAAAAATCCTACTATTCCGTCCCTCAAAATTTGAGTGTATTCTGTATTCCTCAACTGATGGATGTCGGGCTTTCTGAGCATGCCCGGGAACTGTGAAGGTAAATCTTCTGGAATACATCGTCAGAATAAGAATTACCCTCAAAAGGCAAAAGGATACTTGCTCTTCCAAAAAAGTACTATACTGAACTTACACCCCTTTCAAAAAAATATCATTTTAGCTGCTTCTTAGGGATTCTAATATCCAAAGATTACAAACTATTTCTGAATGCCCCTAGGAGAAGCTCTTCCATGGCCAAGAAGAGCCCCCGCCCATAGGGTTCGCTCGCGTAGAGGCACGTCGCGGAAGGGACCTCAAATGCTACGATCCAGTTCCAGAAAGCTCTGCTCTGGATTGAATCCGGTGGAGCCGTCCGCAGAAAGTAAGGATAGGAGTCTTTGTTTGAGAGAGCGGGCGACGATGCAGCCCAGGCGATCTGGGGTACCTTCCGCACCGCAGAAACACCTTGGTTCTTGCTAAGGGGTTCTCATTTAAGTAACCATAATATTTACTATAGATCCCTAGTATGGTAGTTTAAGGCCTTGCTAAGGGATCTAATTTAAGTTACCATGTCAAAGAAACCATATTACGTACTATAGTTCCCTTAAACCAGACTCCTTAACAGGAACCCAGACACTGGCAACCGGAATCGCGATAGATGAGAATACACCTCCCACGAGCGCCGAGACGGGAGTCTCTCCATCCGAACCAAACATGAAGTCCAAAGCGGTTTCGACACCGACGTCTGGCTGCGAGTGGCTGGTTCCCATGCGAACCCTGACGTTGGAGATGTTGGGGTGCAGATTCGGAATGGGGATGATGGGAGGCCCAAAGCGTGCTTGCAGCGCAGTCTCGAAATTCTTGCGCAGATCGAGGTCAAAGCTCGCTACGACTGCCTATACTGAACTTAGACCCCTTGCAAAAATCATAACTTCAGCTGTTTCTTAGGGATAATAACAACCAAAGATGAGAAACGATTTCTAAGTACCCCTAAGCTGCAATGTAAGATTGGCTCTGCGACGTGGCGGGCCCATAGGCGCCGATCGCCCACTCCTGGGCCGATTGCAACCGAGCCACGGTCACCATGGCAAGGGCGATGCGGAGGGCTGCCATCTCTTGGAGATGGCAGCCTTCCGCTGTAAGTCAAAAGCATGGCGCTTGATCCTTTCAATTAGCAGAGATCAATGAATTCAGGATTTGGGGTTTGGGGATATTGGGTTTCGGGGTGTTGGATTTAGAGTCTAAGGTTGTCGTGAGAATCCGTCAACAAATCGGAGGTCGCGTCACAAACTGCAGTTCATCCCGGTACTCCCTCAACGCCACGAAAGGTCCGAAGCCCTAAGCCCCAAAACCGTGGCTGGCACACCTGACTTGAGAAGGCAGTGGGTCACCTTCGCATGCGGAGTATTGTCCGGAAGGCTTGGATCAAGGCTTTTGGATGTTGGATGCGGTAGGGTCGGAGTTCGAAAGATAGGGTTTACGGTTTACCGCGACAGACATGTAGGGTTTAGGGTTTAAGGTTTAGGGATGAACATACTGGCAAAAGGGCACAGCCGCAGTAAACTGACGACCTATGTATGGAACCAGACCCCTGATGAATAAATCCGTACCCAGGGACTCCAATATCCCGCAACTAAGGAATATACCCAAGGCCCAGGGGTTCCTTAAAGCGTTCCTTGACGGGATCTATAGGGGTTCTATAAGGGAATTCAGGAGTATACCTAAGTTATAGTCGGATCCCTAATATGATTTCAGGTGTATTCCTTATTTATGGGATTTTGGAGTCTCTGGGTACCTACCCACTTACGGCCCTACCTACCTACTCGAGATCCTGATCAGGTCCCAATACTGAAGCCTTCACATAAAAGGGGTGTATGAATCAGAAAAACCTTAAACCCCTAAACCCTAAACACTAAACCCAAACCCTACACCCGAAACGCAAAATCCCTCTTCCCTTATCCCGGACCCTGCCCAAAACCCGCATCGGCACTCTTGCTGAGCTCTGGTCCTCGCAGAACTCTTCTTTGCGAAGGCCTGGCAGAGCGAACCTAATGGGTTTAGGGTTTTAGCGGTTTAGGGTCATAGGGTTCTCATGTTTTAGGCTTTAGGGCTTTAGGGGGTTATAGGGTTATAGGGCTATGGGTGTAGGAACCTGATCAAGCAACCCTGGCCCAGCACACTACAGTAGCATCCAACTCTAAATCCGAAACCCTTTCCCCTACACCCTGAAAAGAACTAAACCCTAAACCCCTAAACCCTACACCCTAAACCCCAAGATAGATCCCCTTATGGTAACCCTTATCGGCTTTCTTAAAGGAGCCCTTTCTAACTGTTAAGGCACCTTTTTTGAACCCTGAAACCCAAGGTTCCCCTTTTTTGGGTCATCCCAGCTTGGAGCCGAGCTGGAGGCCGACAAGCTCTTGTAGATACTTTCGGGTTTAAGGTCGCATTTAAGGTTCAAGGTGCAGGGCTTAGGGTTTAGGGTTTAGGGTTCAGGGTTTAGGATTTGAACCTGAGCCTAGGTCTAGGTATAAGGCCTGCGATGGGCTGACCTGCTTTCCAGCACGAGTGTGCATTCTGGCCCTGTCTCACTGCACAGCATGATCGATTATCCTCCCTTTTTGTTGGTGGCTGTGGCGGCATTGCAGGCACCGTTCCGTCTGGTGTCGTGCAGTAGAAAATATCGTCGATGATGAGCAAACGCCTAGCCCAAACAGGACAGCTTTGCCACTCTCTGTGAGTTGGATGTTTTCCTGCCTTAATGCATTGGGTTTGCTCCAGCTCGGGGTTGTGGATCAGACATCGCACAAACCGGCAGAAACATCAGAAAACTGTCGCGAAGACACCAATTGTGGAGAGGAAGCAATGCAGAACGTAAGCTGAAACATGAGAAGCTGTGCAGCCGCAAAAAAGCTCCTTTGCACCGTAACATCTGAACTGGTATCCAGCATCCAGGCAACTGCAACTTGTCAAGCCATGCGGCCGCATCCAGGTCGCTGAAACTTCCCGACTTCTTATTCCACACATTCATGCCCCGGACATGAACAGGTTCGAAGGAAGCCCAATATCTCTTACTTGGAATCCTTGCATAGTTCTACTGCATCCGTAAACAAAATCCCCATGCCCCCTCATTAAGGAATACACTGTCAGTTGCAAGGGGACCGATATTACTTCTTCAAAAAACATCAAGTAAGGCACAAACTCTCAGTTACCAGGGCTTTAGTTTCATGATGTGAGGTCATTGTCAAAAGAAAACCATAACTAAAGGGTATGAGGATCGGCATAAGCCCCGAAACTCCAATTCATCCAGACGAGGCCTCCAACAGGGCTCAATAAACTCACCATGGCACCGACTCCAAACAAATTCCAAGCTCCAAACTGCGTTTGAAGTTTAGGGCGTCGCGTCCGCACCACCAAAAAAGCAAACACTCTGCGCTTCGAAGCCGCAATGCTGTGCCGAAGACTGCTGATCAGCCCTTCCGACACGAAACGGTTTGCATGGACAACCTGACATCCGTAACAACATTCATGCTGGCAAACAGAATGAAACATCGCAATGTACCTCGATTCATGGTCTGCCTTACTTACTGCCAGGGTATGCAAAAACCTTGGACATGAAAACTCAAATCAGCACAAAAACAAACTGGCGCGCCACTGAGCAATATGCACACTTGCAACCGCAACCAAACCTTGCTGATTGCAGGAACTAACTAGGTTTCTAGCATTGGCATTGAAATTCGCAGCGGTTCTTATGGCTTTCAGGAACACCGATGATGTGCGTAAGGTCAAGAAAAGGAACCGCCGGTTTCCGAAATATCTGCAACTTCTTCTTCCATATTGGCTGGAAAGACTCTGCTCTAAGCGCACTGCTCCTGCAAATATTCGAGCGCTGTTGGCTCTTGGACGTGAGCTTGCGGCTCAAACCTTCTTCCGAAACGGCAGCGCGATTGCGTTGGATTTAAAACATTGACACCGGAGAATCGGAGAACGCTTGCCAGACTGCCTAACGTTTTCACAAAGTTAAGTCTGTTGCTACGAGGAAACAGCTTGCACTCCATTATGCAAGAGAGCAAATTTCCAGCCCTTCCTCCGACCCCCCAAACGTTTTCCGCAAAGGGACCCACTGCGCTAGAGAGCTGTGTCCGACTATTGGTGCTGCGCTTGGTAAGAACGCAACGCGCTGCGGCATAGGCATGTGCAGGGGACACAACCAGGAGAGACCCTGTTCCTCGGATCAGCGCCAATGAGACTGACGCTGATGCGCGGCTTTCCCACACTCCGTGAAGTCACCAACACGGTCCGCTATACACAGGTTAACAGCTCCCGTAGAGCCTGCACATGCCGTTGCCGCAAAGAGGTCAATGAAGGGAGCGAGCTCTGCATGACCGCCGCTTGTTGGACAGATCTCTGGTGCAGGTAGTCTCGAGTCAGTGAGTCCCGCATTGCTAAGTCTAATGGTCCTGCTGCTCGAAAACTTGGACAGCGCAATGGCTCTCATAGAAGCATGCGGTCCACGATGCTGGTTTTCTGCCAGGCCCGGATAACCATTCGGCCGCTGCGTTTAAAACGGTTGCATTTTGGGGCCTGCATTTTGGGCGAGCCACTTTTAAGCTCATTTTTTGGAACGTACAATCTGGACGTGAAGCAACCATTTCTTCAACAACATGCAGCCGGAGAATTCCAAAGTGTAGCCAGTTTTTGCTTGTTTTGAACACGTGTTCGTTTCAGTCAATTTTGTTGAAACTTGCACGCGCGACTACATGGCTTTGATGCAGTGCCAAACAGTCTGTGACAACAAGAGTTTGCCGCCAACATGGATGCGGTCTAATGTGGGCGACAGAAAAAATACAGAAGTTCCATCAGCGATGGCACATCACGGCGGACCTCTACGTCGTTACACCAGATGTGGATACTTACGCAAACTCTCTAATCTTGCTTGCGCAGTATCCAGAGACGTGCAGATGTGAGCAATGACGTCACAGAAATGATGGTGTTGACAAACACAATTTTTTTTTTTTTGGCGTATGCGGGCCTCGTCGACTACGGCTGTAGCACTCGGTCCCAACAAGCAAACAAACAAACCAACAAACGAAACAGCGGTGAAACGAAATACCTAATTAGAGAGGGCAGGACTAGCTGCGGCGCCCAGGCTTAGCCGGGGTTGGCCGTTCAACATCTGCTACGGGTTCTCAGCGATCGTTCCACAACAACAGTAGGCCGTCGCCCAAAGTTTTCCAAGACCCTTAGTGGAGCCCAAATCAAGGCTCCGGCCGCCGTTCTAGTTCCGTCAAACAACGGTTGGCCCCGAGATCCTGTTGTGTCCCGATCGTGCACGGAAGAATTCCACAAGTCCAGAAATCCAAGGCCAGCGGCAATGGAAAGACTCGTCGACGTATGTCGAAAGGTTGGACATTGTGGACAGCCAATAAGGCTTAGGTTAAAGCCTCCTAGGTAGAAGGCCATTGGTCAAGCAGCCGCTGCATGTTATTGCCACTGCGTGGAAAGTGGGATTTCCGCAGAAGGTACAGCAATTGATACTGGCCCGCATCATACAATGATTTAAGGCGTGGTGTTGACAAACACAACACGAAGTGGGCGGTAGCATCACTTCCAGGCAAGCTTTATTTTGCGCATATCGCAGCTAATCATAATGGCACTTTGTCGGTTGGCGGCCGCGGGATGTGAGGCAGAGCTCTTACCAGACTTACTGTCAGCGCAAGGACACATGTTAAAGAAGACTCTGTCTTTGCAGATCTTCTTGCATCTTCCGACCAAAGTTATGGCAAAACGACCTTTACGAGCAAATGCAGGCTTTGGATGTCCAGTCCACGCAGCATTGTCCCACCCTACACCAGCACCCACTGATGACCCTTCAACCCTAACGTTGGAACAATAAATTCTAGGGACACAAAGCAGAGACACTTTCTCTTCCAAAAATGTGGACCGCAAACATGCTTCAAAAAGAGCTGTTGCACTGTCTAAGTCGTTGAGCAGCCATTTATGCTTGCCATTGCGCGACCTGGACTTTACGGGGACCAGGAACCAGTGAATCGTGTGGCCACAGAACGCCTGTTTTCTTCTCAAGTCTTCCAGCAATTGGCGCATGATGTGTA